AAGGTTCACGCTTTTCTTTAAAATATGTCGTTTCTGAATTTGAAACGAAACATTTAAATTCAGTTGGTAAATATATAATGCATATATTATAATTAAGTAAAATGTTCAAGGCACCTTCTTGAAAGTCAAGGTCAGGTTTTAAGATGTCCTAAATAATTTTTGTGATCCAATTCAAAATAGTTTCAAAAGCGTTCATACATCAGAAAGATTTTTGCAATATAACCGATATACATTTTCATTTAATAATATAATTCTATGCAGCTATTATAATAACTATAAAAAAGGATCAAACACTATATTTATATTTCAAAAGTCATGTCTTAAAATGTCCTAAATTCACATACAGTACTTCAATGGCCATGCGTTTAATATATTTGAAAGGATGAAATCGCCCGTACAATAACAAGTAAATCATTCTTAACCGTAATGCGCGAGAGGTGTGCCACGTATGAAATTAAAATGCAATAATATCCACCGCATTTCTGGCCTGTCTCAGATCTTTAGATTATCGTAAAGTATTTATTTATCCAACCTACCCTCGGGGAGTTAGATACCATCGAGAAATCAATTTTGCATACGTCGGGGAGGCGTAAAGCGGTCCTTAAAGTACAGGTGGCAGTGGTATTGTATTAAACCCTCTACTAATTAAGTCGTAGCTAATTTTATCAATTTAATCCCACAACATTAACGATTCAAAGCATATAAATTAACATTAAATAATGCGTACATACCAACATTTATTAGAAGGATAAAACTTTGTTGCTGAAGCTCGGGCAGAATTAACATGTTCTCTCTCACGCAATTCATTGATCTTTAATCGGAAATTTACGGACGTCTTCAATGCATGGAATCTTTAACTAAATTATAAAGCATTGTACTAAAACAAAACTGAAATAGGCAGTCGATAAAAATGACAGCTACAAACCCTTCCCAACTAAACTGCAATCACGCCATCACTTAAGATACACAAATCATAATAAACATCATACAAGTCTAAAGTTATGAGATATATACTTATATATGTATGACGTGAAAGCGGGAGAGCCTCGAACCGGTTCAACTTCACATGAATACACGCACTCGAGCCTCCAATCAAATAAGGTCTATGTCAGTCTTGATACGCTTTCCCAGTTCGATCTCAATAAAATATTCAGAAGCAAAAATCTTCACGCCTGCTTAAGTTATCGGGTAACTGATAAAAGCTAAGCTGTGACAAAGAGATACTGTATAAAGAATAGGCTCTCATAAGTGAAGATGTATTTTGGCGACGTGGCTGTCCACTGCAGTCAACGTTGCATAAGTTGTATTGATATTTATTGCAAAAATATGTATAATAACGTAGCCTATTTCTAAGAATATTTATTGTTTCAAATTCCTTATCGCAATCATATTACTAATTTGTAATGATTACACTGTTTCTTTATCAGATAAATGTTCTAAGACTTGATTAGAAACGCAAAGAACTCTCTCTTCGTAACACTAGATTTTCCAATTCAATGAACGACTGAGAACTGATTTATAATGTCGTGGCAAACAATACTTGATAATATCTTTAGGTACTTTTCTAATTCTGTATGCGTAAAACTTTATGCCACACGAACCCCTTGCGGTAAGGTTACTTACCTGTAACTTACAAAAAATCATTGTAAGTTTTTTTTATTACCTTGTAGGTTAAGGCCCAATACGCCGGACGTTGACAAATTTCGTGGAACATAAATAGAACAATATTGATAAAAATTTTAAGAGCCTGTGTCCTTATCACTTGCGTTAAAATGCATTAGACGACGCAACAGGTTAAAACGAACGTTGATTTAACATTAAGTTCTTTCAAAGTGCACCTCCCTCGACCAATAAATTTGTTGATAAAAACGAAACGGTTATAAGTTAAAAAGCATCCGACCACGGCGGTAGATCGGCAATTTTGCTTTCAATATTTGTTTTGCATTCCGAAACAAATAAGAGCACAATGAACTGTATACAAGTGTTAAAATTTTGTAATATGGTATGATGTCCTTATATTACATACAAAAGTGAATTTGTTGCACCCAATTTGCTAATCTGGTTTTGTTTTGCTGTTTAATTAATTGAAAATTGGAATTGTACGCAAACAAAATCGATAGTTTTAACTACTTTGAAATGTTGTAGACGTTAAGAGATGTAGATATTCGTCTCTTTCTAACAAATTATGTTTTTTTTGTGAGGAAAAGAGTCAAATCAATATAATAAATACTGCTGATTTTTTAGTAGGATGTTCAGTTTATATGCTAATTTTTAAGATTATAAATTATTGGATAAATAAAACTAAGGATTTTAAACATTTTCATCTCTAGTAATTCGTATATTAGATTTGCCAAGACTGGCAATACAATTTACAAAGTACTAAGACGCAAACGTCCGTATATTTGTATCAATACAGCACAGTAATACAAGATTAATCTTAAACACAAACGCAAGTAATACAAAGACATCCATCAAAGCACAGCAAAGAGAACAAACCTAGCGTTAACTGAGGATCAAGCGTATTACATAGACAGAAGACTATTAGTATTGGCGTGAAATAATGAAAGCTATTTCACAGTATAACGTAACTTGTACGTTCATTAAGTCGGGTGTCGATGCCCGCGCCGGAGGAGCACGTTGCATAAATCAGACGAGGGAATGCTGCTTGGCGCCCTAATGCGCTTTCGATGTCAGTTGATAGTCCACCCTTCAACTGCCTCCAATCCTTTGGAATCCCCCGATGCGCGGGGGAAATTCTCTCATTCGTTGAAATATGTTCTTTTGATTTATAATTATCCTCGATATATGGATTTTCTATAACTCAAATTATAAATAAAACTTATTTTTAACTCTCTTAATCTTATTATATAGTTGCTGTTCATTTTTCATTCTTTTCTTGTTATAATGATCTTCTATGATCCCATGTAAGGCCTCACACATGTGAATGTGTTTTAATTTGAGTACCATAAATAAAGGACGATTTATATTATATTTTAAACTATTTTTTTATTTTTTAAATAATATCTATTTAAAGCCAAATATACAGTTATTTAATAATACTAGATTCCAGTCTTCTACTTAAATAAATTATTATCAGAGATAAGTGACAAATTGTTGCTTCCTGTTAAACCCGAAATTATAGAAACATCGAGCGTTTGTAAAAGTTAATAATCAAAGGATATAGACATGAGAAATACAAACTTTAATAAACTACAGAAATAATTTATTTCACACCAAGGTTTTATAAATAACAGGTGATTATTTCCTAAGGATATTTAAATCTGATCCAATGAAATAAAATCGGAATATCGAAATAACGGACATGTGAAGTGACACTCGAACACTTTGCGGTCAACAGCCTTCAGTGAATTTAGTTATTTGAATGGTATCACCAAAATATGCAGATTTGGAGTCCCATCAAGTCAATATAAATTCGAGAATATTTTGCGACACTTATTAACACGCGTTATGAATTGTGGTATTTGAGGTAATTTAAATTTTGAGGATAAAATTGCGAGGCAATACCATTAACATCAAAATATATGATACAGCGCAAGGGCCTTGATTTATTAAGATTTGTTAAACAGATTTAAACGCGTTTATTACGATTATTAAATTTGACAATATTATGAAATAATCTCGTCATTTGTCGTGTTTTAGTAACATATTTTTTTAAATAAACTTGACTTTTACCTCTAACTGATAAATTTAAGAGACACATTAAACGGTATTTAATTTTTTCACTGATAAACCGAATACAGCGTTGAGAGAGTTTTAAACAAATGTCAAAATTAAAGAACCTTGAGCCAGACAAGATGGCGGATGTTTAAGACCAGCTGTTTTAAATAAAAGCCATATTTTATTAGTAAGAAGACTTTTAAACTATGTTTAGTGGTTGACATTTCAGTTGAGATGTGTTAAAGTTAAAACGACCGTTGCATTATGTGCTTTATAAAACATATATTTATTTCCTAAAAAAAGAGTGGCGGAGCTGTTTATTGCCAGTTCTTCTCTTCCGTTCTACCCCCTTGATTTGAGAGCTGGCAGTAAATGTAAAATTAGAAGCATTTAATGTATATTTCTTTTTTGACGTTCATAAGTGTACATTGTGCTATATGAATAAATGATTTTTGACTTTTGACTTTGACTAAATACTGCACATACCCAAAGATAAATCAATAAAATATAAAACCTAAATTTTTTAACAATATAATTGAATAATGTGAATTCATACGGTGTGCAATGATAATGTATTTGTACCATATAAAGTTTCTGAGGTTTGCTTTATTATCATCTACTGGTGATAAATGGTTATATTTAAATAAGGAATGAAGATTTAATCGTAGAACGAAATATTCAAACTATTTAGTAAGATTCTTTTATTCATTAGGATTATAACAGATTAATGTTAAATTCTTAATGTGTACAATTTTTTAAATAAAATATAGATTTATATTAAAAGTTATAATTATTATTGCACCTTTCTGATTACGGTTGCCAAGTACTTAAATAAATTTGATAAAAGTCCACATTTACTAAACTTATAATCGAAGCCGCAGTCGATGACTAGATTATAAAAATATTCGTGTTTAAAGATATATCGTGTTGATATACAAATCGGTAGAGTGAAATATAAAAACTTTTTCAATTTTTTTTTTGATGTTTGGGATTAAAAATTCAAATTAAATTATAAACTAAAACCAATGTTTCACATAATCTTCGAAAGGTTTCAGAACGAATGTTGAGATATCGTCGCGAGACGCAGCTTATCGTTAATTTAGAGTCCTCGATTAGAGTCCCCAGCCGACATACACTAACGAGCTTTCGTTTTAAATTTATTTTTCTCTTGAAAAGTAAAATGTGTTGTCTCCTATTCACGACGTGCAAAGTTTAATTATTCAGAATTTGAATGGCGGAATGTTGGTTATTATTGTTTTGGTTGTGCATTTTCTAAGAAATTAAATATGTAAAAGTGCATTTCTTACACTTCCACACAACCGCTAAAACTCTTGTTTCTCACAACAACGATAATAGAAATTACTAGTATCTACAAATTTAAAAAGACTTACCTTAGTAGTTGTAGACTTTAATGGTGAGCCAGAAGACACAGCACATACCTCCACTTCATATTTCTCTATCCCTGCTTCACGGTCAAGTGGGACCGCAGTAGATAATATGCCTAAAGACGAGTCTATGTCAAATAATCTGTCTACTTGTCTGCCGTCACCCGTAACGTTCACTATGTAATATTCTAGTCCCGATTTATAATTGTTTGTCATATTAAGAACAGCAGTTCCACCCGGTTCATTTTCCGCGACAGAAACGGAAACCGCGTTTGTCCACGTTATACCTTGCAGCTCAGTCCCACCCATAATGAGTGTTAGATAAGTCTCTGTACTTCTTTGCTCACTCAAAACCGCCTCATCTGTAGCTTTTATAACAAGATTCCATCGGGCTTCCGGTGATGCAGGTGGATAACGAAGACTCAAAGCACCATTACTTCTGTGCAGGTCGAACATATCGTTTCCACCATGGATAAGTTTATATGTGACTAGGCCATTTGTACCAGAATCTAGATCTCTAGCAAGGACATTCATAATAAATATACCTCGTCCAGCACTTCTCCCTAATCTTTCTGAATTAACAAAGGCAGCATTCATAGACACAAAGACAGGCGCATTGTCATTTATATCCTCGACTATAACTGTCACCAATTTTTCAGCGGAAAGTCTTGCAGATTGCGGCTCCGCCCTATCGTATGCTGCAACTGTTATTCTAAATGTATCAACACTTTCTCTATCGATAGGCAATAACGTATGTATAACTCCAGTAACATTGTTTATAGCAAAATGCCGATTCCCATTATTGGGTTCTTGATGAATAATAGAATACCATACTTTTCCATTTAGTCCAGAGTCAGGGTCTTCAGCTGTAACTGTTACTATAGGAGTATGTTTAGGGATACCTTCTCTTATCTGTCGGACAATTGCAGTGTTGGTAAAAACTGGTGCGTTATCATTGGCGTCAATTACATTAACAGTAAATGATATACTTGATGATAAACTTGGGCTTCCATTATCCATTACTGTGATATTTAAAATATACATTGTCAAATCTTCATAATCTAAATGTTTGTGTAAAAACAACTCTCCAGAGTAACTATCTATAAAGAATGTTTCCTTTCTATTTCCAGATGATATAGAATATTGCAATTCGTTGTTAATTCCTAAATCTGCATCGTTAGCATGAAATTGTATTATTTTCTTATTTATTGGTTCTGTTTCTAATACGGACACTTTTAAATCTGTTTGACTAAATACTGGTACATTGTCATTTTCATCTAAAACGTTGACGGTAACTGTCGTAGTGGCTGAAAGACGAACAGTTTGGCCAGAATCGTGGGCCATTACTAAAAGCTTGTAATGATCCAAGGTTTCACGATCCAGTGGCTTGTTAATAAATAACTGCCCTGTAGCTTCATCAAGCATAAACTTTTTCAAATCATCACCACCTATAAGTTTATAGTAAATATCACCGTTAAGTCCTTCGTCAGCATCAGTTGAATATATTCTTGTAACCGATGCCCCAACGCTAGCTCCTTCTGATATTTCTACAGCATATGGAGTATGCGTGAAAGTAGGTGCGTTATCATTCACGTCAGTTATATAAATTGTCACTCGTACTGAATCAGAAAGTTTAATTTTTCCATTGTCACTTACGGTCACAGTTAATGTTATATAGTTCTGACCTGTAACTTGTGATAGGCTTTCTCGATCAAAAGATCTAAGAGTTTTTATGAATCCATTTCTTGAATCTATTCTAAAGTCATTTTGAGCAATAGGTAAGCTAAATGTTAACTCAGCATTACGTCCTATATCTTTGTCAATGGCTGTTAACTTTCCAACAAAAGTATCAGGTGGCTCATTTTCTTTTATCTTAAATACAAATGTTGTGTTTGTAAATTGTGGACTATTATCATTCTCATCTAAAACATGAACCACTACTGGTACTTGTGATGATCGGGGTGGAGCACCATTATCACGAGCAATAATAGTAAGTGAGTAGTAATCTTTCTCTTCTCTATCCAGAAGACTTTTTACGTAAAGATAACCGTCTGGAAATATTCCAAATTTTCCATCTGTGTTTCCTTCTGTGATAATATAAGATATTTGACCATTTGGACCTAAGTCTGCATCGGATGCTGAAATAGCAAAAAACCTTGTGTTAACGAGTGTAGATTCCAATAAAGATGTTTCGTAAGATGTATGGTCAAACACTGGAGTATGGTCATTTACATCATCTATTATTGCTATAACGTTATATTTAGTAGCAAGTGCAGGTTTTCCATGATCCGTGGCAGTCACTTCTATAGATAAGGTAGATCCAGGTTCATTTGTAATAGCTTTATTCAAATAAATCACTCCTGTAGTTTCAGATATTCGAAAACTGTTATCTGAATTATAGCTCAAAGCATAAGATATAGTTCTATTGGAACCCGAATCTCGGTCTATAGCTCGAGCAAAATAAACCTCTTGTCCCACAGCAATATTTTCAGCAATGTGTATTTCGTCTTTGCCTTCAATAAAAGTAGGATAATTATCGTTTATATCTAAAACAGATATATTAACAGTTGTAAATCCATATGCAAGCCCACTTTTAGCCATAACCTTGAGGTGATATGTTACTTTCTCTTCTCGGTCAACTGTAGACTCTGCACTTATAGTCCCAGTGTTTTCATTTATCTTAAATACTCGTTTTTGGTCGCCTTCGATAATATAGTAAAAAATTTCATCACTCGTTTTTCTTACACTGACACGTCCAACAAAACGATTAATCTTATGCTTTGAAGTTCCTTCACTTTCCACAATTTTAAAATTATAGCCCCCATATTTGTCAAAGTCCAAATTTTTTCGCTGCGACTTCCTTATAATTTCTACAATAGCATCTTCAGCAGCCCTTCTATTACCTTTATCTTTACAAGAAACTTTCAATAAATAAATTGCCTTCGAGGCTTTACTAAAATCTTTTTGTAGGATTACATTACCAGACGAGGGTTCAATATCAAAATAACCATCACCTCCACTTTCTATTGAATAAATTATTTTTGCGTTATCCCCATCATCTTCATCAAAGGCTTTCACTTGAATAACAGTTGATCCTAGAGGTAGATCTCCTGATATATCTGTAACGTATCTTAGTGGATAAAAATAAGGATCATTATCGTTAACATCAAGAACTTGTAACAACACTGTAGCTGTTGAAGACTGTGGCGGAAAGCCTTGATCTTTAGCAATAACTTGAATTTCGTACGTTGATATTTTTTCTCTATCCAGTTCCACAATTGCACTTAACTGACCAGTTATGTGATCAAGTACAAATGTCTTAGGATATTTTCTTTCAATACTTGGAGGTAAATAATAGGACACAGATCCATTGGTCCCTTGATCATAATCAGAAGCTGTAAGGATCAATATTTCTTTGACTGGTATAATATTTTCAGCTAACGACGCATTTATTTGTGTTTGAGGAAATGTAGGAGCTTCGTCATTTTCGTCAAGAATAGTTACTTTCAGTCTAGTATAAGCCCACTTGGGATTCGGACCTCCATCTCGTGCGGATATATTTAATTCAACTGATCCTTGTATCTCACGATCCAACAAAGATTTAGTGGTCACTAACCCAGTTAGATGATCTATAAAGAACCACTGTTGTTGGTTTCCGTCATAAAAGTCATAATAAATTTCAGCATTTACACCAGTATCTTCATCAGTTGCCGTTATACCGGCAACGTATGTTCCAGGCGGTGCAAGTTCACTTAAAATAGTCGTATATTCAGATTTTTCGAAAACAGGTTCATGATCATTCACGTCATTTACATGTATAACCAAAAAAGCAGTAGCTGTTCTAGGAGGAATTCCTTTATCAGTCGCTACTACAGTCAAATTATATTTACTTATCTCTTCTCTATCTAATATACCATTAACATGTACAATATAGACACTACTGGAATTTTCTAGACGAAAGTGATTAAGTTCATTCCCTGATATTATACGTATGCTTGTGATACCATTTAATCCTGCATCCGCATCTGTTACTGTAATTGCTGCAACCAGAGATCCATTTTTTGCATTCTCATCGACTGTGGCGAAATTAGCAGTCGAAGGTACGTAAGTGAATGTTATCACTGGATCGTGGTCATTTGCATCTATAAGATTAACAGTGACATACGATCGGGCGTCTTGACGAGGTACACCGTGGTCTTTTGCAATTACAGTCAGTACACAAGTCATATTACAGGTTGTATTACTGCAATACTGAGGGCAACTAAGTTTTTTTGTTGTTGTAATTACTCCTGATTCAGGATCAACCGCAAATTGTTTTTCTGTGTCAGTTACTTCATAAGTAATTTTACTATTATCCCCAAGATCACTGTCAGTTGCAGTTACTTTAAGTACTGTAGTGCCAGGTGGTACACTTTCATTCAATGAGACAGAAAAATCACTTTGATCAAAAATAGGCGGGTTATCATTTACATCTAAAATTGACACATTTACTTGTAAATAACCATATTTTGGAGGAGATCCACCATCACGAGCAGAAATATTCAGTACATAAAAATCGTTTGTTTCTCTATCAAGTTTCCCTGTAGTTTCTAAGTGAAGATAAGAAGTCTGACCACTAGGATTTACAGTTACGTTTAGACGAAACTTTCCTTCATTATCTCCATCAATGATTCTATAATCATTAGTGATTCCATTTTCACCTAAATCTTTATCAGTAGCTGCATCCAAAAGAAGTTTAGTTCCTGGAGAAGCGCTTTCAGAAAAAGCGACTGCTATACTGGGTTCAGGGAATTCTGGTAAATTATCATTTACATCCGTCACTCTTATCCGCACTTCGATAGGGTATGTAGGCTGGCTAGATAAGACAACAAATGCGTAGCGATCTACACTTTCTCTATCTAGAATAGTATTTGTTTTAATTTCACCTGACAATGGATCGAGAGCAAATTCTTTCGGAGATTCATTAAAGCGATATGTAAAACCAGGTTTTATAGGTATTCTTCCTACAACTGTTCCTATGGGCTGAGCTTCAGGCACACGTAGATCTACACCGGTGTCAACTGCACGAGATTGCATTTGCTCGGCGGCGGCGCCAGCGCCCGCGCTGGTAATCAGCGCCAGCGCTAACAGCACCACGTGCCACCGCCCCATTACGGTCATGATTCCGATAAAAACATTGCCAGGTCTGTTCCTCTCCAGTTAAAGTCTTATGAATCACAATAAACTATTATATCGTTAGCACAAAGTTGCGCCAGCACTCGCCTCAGGTATGCAACATGGCCGCGACGACCTGCCCGGGCAGGAATATCTCACGGAGAGTGCGACTTGCCGTTGCGCCTACGCCGTCACATTCATTGGTAAACACACGTGACACACAGTAAATACACTAGTCTAACGACTGAAGTAACGTTCACTGTTAGTATTATTCACAATCCGTTATATCACAAAGTAATCCTGTTTTGATAGCAATCCTTAAGCGCACGAATAAAGTTTAAGCACAATATCCAGGGCACAAACGCGGCAAGCTCAGCATGCGGGCGACATAAGAGCCGACACGGTACTGGCGGGCGGAGGCTTTCACGCCGCCCCGCGGCCCTCCTCGCGTTGCGTCGACCCCTCCCCGCAGCTTTTAAAGCTCCGGGCTGTGGAGAATGATGATATAGAGATAATGGCCGCCTAAGAATTTTACTATTTATTGTTCGATACCTCAGCCATCCGCCGTTCTGAGAATGAGCTTAGTATTCTCAGGTAAACTTTTAAACGTAACTCTTTCTATTTTGAGGTTATAACTGTAGCGTATACATTTGTTTGTAATGATTTCTTTGATATTTTAAATCATATTATGGTGTGTTACGTAACGCCCAACATTGAAAAACTACAAGTAAGTTTTATGAATGTTAGCATATTAATGGGTTATGTTAAGTTCAACATTTGTTTTATTTATTACTAAAAATAACGATTACATATTGATGATATTAGACTAGGTAACAATATTATATTTCGATATTATAACGACGGTCGGCGCGTTGAAGTCTTTTCTAAACAATACTCAACGCTACAGTCAGCGCTTATTTCTTTCATTATTTACTGAGTGAAATAATCTCGGGATACCAAGGGTTAATCTTTTTTGATAATTAGTTGATACATGTATATAATAAGAATAGTTATATATATATATATATATATATATGTGATTGGATTACTTGACGGGAATAAGATAAAATTAAAATTCTTTAATATACGTTTTTTTAAATCAATTTAAGTTAGGGTACAATTGAGCATAATAAAACAATAATTTGTAACTTCAATTCCGTATTCACAATTACATTTTATATTTTTATTAACTAAAGCATTTGTTAAATAAAATTTAATTATTTCAATCATTATAATTACAAAGATTACTATTGATAACGATTATTTGTTTGTTATAACATTTAAATTTTACTTAAACAATCATTTGTATAACAGAGACATCTAGCGGTTCAGTGGCAAATAACGTAAAAGCTTTAAGTGACAGTAGCGACTTGGACTCTCTTAAAGCTTCAGTATAATTTAAGCTACCATAGATGTCGTGAAAAAAGTATATACTACCAAGACTGTACAAAACTTATATCTATATAAGATACTATATGATGTATAATGGAATCCATTGTTTTATAATTTATAAACACATAATTTTGATTAATCCCTAGCATATCACACAAGTATTACATTATATATTGGTAGGTTCTATATTATTAAAAGCAAACTATTTTACACCTGCATTCCATGTATTATCTGACATGGAAAAAAACAAATGTAACGCTAAAAGACAGCTGAAAAATTTCTAAAATTAGAAGTAGAACTTCATTAAGAGATGTCTTAATGAAGTTCTACTTCTAATTTTAGATGTGTGACAGAACACATCATAATCGTGGAAAAGTGCACTAGGTAAATTGTAGATTGGTATGGAATTGGAGAAGATGAAGATCATGAAGGATGATGATGATGAAGTAATGGATGATGATTAACCGGAAGAAGGGCTGAGGTTCATTTGATCATTTGTCAGAGAATAAATATTATCTTCTAAATTGTTGTAAATTGTGTAAATATGGGAGCGTTCAAGTATAACGTAACGAATTTTAAGCGGTTAATCTATTTGTACCTTTTTGCATACTTGGGAGACACTGGGTTCGATTCCTTTCAATATCTATACTAATATTATAAAGAGGAAAGGTTTGATTTTTTGTTTGTTTGAAATGAATGGGCTCCGAAACTACTGGACCGATTTCAAAAATTCTTTCACCAATGGCAAGCTACACTATTCCCGAGTGACATAGGCTATGTTTTATTAAAAAAATCTAAAAAAAATTAGGGATGCTTACTAAAACTTGAATAATCTAACCCAAGATGAAAAAAAATAAACAAAAAACTTCCTTCAGTCGTGTGCGCTGCGAAAACTATTAATGATAGAACAAAATGATGTATTAAAATTTTTCAGGACACATCACTATCTATAAAAAATGTCGCGACAGCATGTCTCTATCTTTTATAGTTACGTCACAATGAGCGTCCTTTTATTAATTTTTTTTATTAAAATACCACCGCTAGAAAAGGCTGTTTATTCGTACCTAGGTATTGATCCTTATCAAAATAATTACCAACGTTTCACATAAGCTACAATTTAATGGCATAACCACCAAAAAAGCATGGTGGATTGGTGTTCTCCTGCCGTTTCTCTTGAATAGTTTACTACTATGTAATATAACAAAAATCTTAGCCACAGCAACGCTTGGCCGAGTCTCTAGTTTGTATAGAATTTTGTCACACAACACAAATCACCTTTATATACGATCGAAACATGTAGATATGCTACAGTGACATTGAACGGGTTACAGGAATTTAAACACAAAAACGGCGCAGCGTGACAAAGTTTCAAGTCATTGTTGCCATAAACTTTGTTAGACAGTATTGTTGCTTTTACATTTGAAAACGAATCCTGACAAATGTTGACGAAGTTTTTTTTCTGGGAATATGGCTTTGAAATCTAAGTACTCTAATATTTTTATTATTTTAAATGTTTACCTTATTTACGTCTTGGTATAGAAGAAAGTGCTCTTCAAAATATCATTTATTTATGTAGGTGCTTCTAAATTTACATTTACTGTGCTCACATCCAGGGCATAGAACTAGAAAGCCTGGCAATAAACTCTCCGTCACTATTTTAAATCGCCAAGTTATTTTATACAAAATGTTTGTACCTGCTCCTCATTACACGTTATACGCAATTAATTTATTTATTTACATTTCGTTGTACTAATACAGAAAACCAATACAATTGTATTAAAATAAAAAGGAGCAATCTCTGCCGAGCGACCATTATGAGAAAAGAAAAAAAAATTAGATAAGGCAAAAAGTGCAAAATTATAAAAGATATGTAGCAAGTAAAACATATGTAGACTAGTAATAATTAAAATTATGAATACTATAGCATTAAGTATTGTAATTAAATTTGAGCGGCGTTGGCCTAGTGGCTTCAGCGTGTGACTCTCGTCCCTGAGGTCGTAGGTTTGATCCCCGGCTGTGCACCAATGGACTTTCTTTCTATGTGCGCATTTAACACTTGCTCGAACGGTGAAGGAAAATATCGTGAGGAAACCGGCTTTAACCTTAGACCCAAAAAGTCGAAAGCGTGAGTCTGGCACAGGAGGCTGATCACCTACTTGTCTATTCGATTGACCATTGATTGATCATGGAACAGATACATATATCTGAGGCCCAGACCTAAAAAGGTTGTAGCGCCACTGATTTTTATTTTATTGTAATTAAATACAAGATAATAAAAAAATAAAAAAAAAACAAACGTTTCATCTCAATCTGCAAGGCACGGTGAAATAGGAGCATTGTGGGAACAACACGCAAGTAAAGATGTGTGTCTTAGCAGTAAGACAGCCCATTTACATCCTTTGAATACTTATACGATTATTATTACTCTGTTGGAACGTCATATTCGTTATATGAAGTCATACAGTATTGAAAAAAAGCTTATTTATTTGCTCGTAAACCAAAGACAATATTCAAAACAAACAGCTACACAGCAAACATGCTAGTAGTAGAAATGCATAAACAATAAACTTTTCTACATTACAGCGATTAATTATAATAAGTTTATATTTGAAACTATATAGCTGTCCTCACGAACTTCTAAGTCTACCTTTTTAGTAGCTACAAAGCAACATTTGGAACATTTGGCTATGCTGCCATATAGAGACTGTTCGCTTTTCCAGAATAAAAACATAAGTATTAAATAATTTTATTTTTTCAGTTTTTCTCTTCATAAAAACCGTCAAATAATCAAATCTAGGAATAAATCAAATATTACTCGAATTAGTCCAGCCGTCATCCAGATTTGCGCTTCGCAACATATTTGCGATGCCGGTCTTTTAAGAATTGGTACGCTCTGTTCTTGTTTGTTGGGAAAACTGCTTGTTAGGCAGAGAAGCATAGTCTTTACGAATACCCAACTGCAGTAATCGATGATTGAACCTAAGAAATTCAAAGACAACACAACTCTTATTTTCTTTAAAACTCGAACAATATTATAGAAATAAAAATCGTTAAACCTTATTTAACGAAACTCCAAATTTTGATACATTTTAGTACTATATCATTTTCATACTTTAATCAATATCGTGGGATATTTTCCTGCGAGTAAGAGGTGTATGATAAACGGCCATATATATGATAGTCACAATAAGACGTATAAAAATACATTTTTCATTACCTAATGTCACAGACAAAGTCTTTCTTTTGGTGGGTTATAAATAGCCTGGTTTTGAATACTACATCTATTGGTATCACTTGTTGCTTGAAAGTGTTGACGTCAGTACCCCCAACTCGCCGATTTGTTCGGGGGGGACCGCGCCCCCACAGTGGGTTGCACTGACGTAAAGACTCACATTCATGAATGGAAAGAGCCCTGATCATATACTTTAGTTTTACGTATTAATAAAACTTCATTTTACTGCAATTTAAAGGGACTTATTTACTAATTCTTTATTAATTCTGAAAATTGTTCCGTTTCAGAGAATGTCTGATGTTTTATTGTGAAATAGACCCTCGCCTACGCAATTCTCGTTACAGTGTAACTGTGTGGGTGTTATTAATATAGTAAGTTTTTTCTTTAACATGTTAGAATTGAAGGTTAAAATCCAGCCATTTTATAAGAGAGTGGGCTGTAGTTAGGAGATTCACCTGATTTTAAGTGATACCGCCCGTGTACACTCTTGACAGAGGGCAGTACGTTGCCCGCGTTTTAAGAATTGGTTCGCTCTATTTTAATAACATTTAGGAAAATAATAATACCATTAATTACAAAAGTCTTATCGACGTTCAAAATAGATATTGAGCGTGTTCGTTATGATATCTATAAATAATTAGGTATTATCGTTACGTTAGTAATCATATGGTATCAAAATAACTTTAATTTGACACAAAATCGATACTATGATAACTGAAACTCCGTATTTGATAGCTTTAAATAGTTTACTTCTCAACAAGGAATGTAGCAGATGTGTTTTATAGCAGCTATATTCCCTTTTACTAAAATTCAAGTTTCTTAAAGAGAGTCAAAAACTTCTGCAATTTTAGCGGTTAAATCTGATTCATCTCCGGCATATGGATTGGAAACAATTCACCTGCTCTAGGTAAAGTAGGCTACATCATTAGTTATTTGCAACGACTTAAAGGCGCCACCCGGTTATTGACCCCATATTTGTGACTTGCAACCTGACGTTGCACTTAGACTGCAACGAAAAACCGATATCTCCCTCCGACCTACCCCATCGGAGAATCCGCGAGCTGTTACCAACTAAAGCTATGCTTCCCACTATGTAATAGTTACCAGACAGTTACGGCACACATATTATTGGCTTCAGACTGCTATAAAGAAATTCATAAGAACGGACATAAGCTTCTCAAAATCGGACGAAAATCACAAAATTAATGACTACGTTAAGCGTGGGTTACCACATAAGTAACTACGGTTTAGGAGCTGTGGAATAAAGGCATAGGTCTGTAAATATTACACTTTATTTTTCAGACCAGACCTTAAATAATAATTGAGACTATAATATTATAAAAACTGTATGCTGATGAAAGACAAAAGAAAAAGTAATAAAATCTCAACGTGAATACCGTAAATATAAAGCAAACAAAAATTGCTCAATTTGGCTTTCTAACAGCCAAAAGTGCCTGATCATCATATTACATTCTTGTTAAATACTATAGATAACATTGGCGAAAAAAAATATAAATAGATTCAACAGTTATTCTAAATACAAATAGATATTTACCAAAAATAGTAACGAGTTTTAGTAAGATGAATAATCTGCGGGTGCGATCGATAACAAAGAGGTCGGGGTTAGGGCGCAATGGTGGTATGAGTTCCCCCCTGGGGTGTAAACGTAGGGGGGTTCATTGAGAACGTGTAGGCGGTGCGCGTGGGCGACTAGCTTATAAAGCTCTGCGACCCACCCCGGCCATGTAGTCTCTTTCCGACCTTTGAATGCAAATAGTGAACTGTGTGACAATGTGCAATCTTTTGGCTGGACTGAGGTGAGATTTTTTAGTTATTAATAGCCCACATTTAATTATTTTAATAGTAACATATATAAAAAAAAATACGGTTAAAAAAATCTAGTTTAAAAATTCTACATTGCCATATATTAAGGGTATAAAAATATATAATTGTTTCAAACAATTTATTTGTATTGTAGAATGTGGGCGGTCTTCTTGTGCTATTTATTAGCCGAAGTTAAGACATATCCCATGCAAGGATGGCCTGTATATGGACCAGAACCCAGAGATTATAATGAAGATGACTATTATTATTCGCCTAAAGTCCAATACTACTATGACGCTCCAGCTGTCAACCCCCCTGAAGTGTACGGTCAAGTTCCTTATTCATACATGTACGATCCATACGGGCATTTTGCAAAGGATCTTCCGAAGATAGACGATGAACGCTTTTCAGCCCTACCAATAGGACAAGAAACGTGGTACGAAAGTGATTCTAACTCCCGCTGGCGCTCGAATAACGAAATTGATGACGTCAATGCAGCTTTCCTAGACAACCTTATACTTACGCAAATGGCCCGAGACGCCCAAAGGCGGCGTGAAAACGCCCGTGCTGCCTTTTCTAACGTCGATTACGAAGAAAAAGGCACTGAAGATGAAGATGTTAGAGAATTAAAAGCACTGGCAGGAAAACCCATGTACCATGTACCTAAAACAGTCCCAAGGTTTGATGATGATGAAGACGATGATTACGAAGGTGACGACTCTGAAAGCTTTATAAACTGGAATGGCAACAAAAGGAGCGTAACCACAGAGGCACCCCAAACGACGACATTTACACCTGTGGCTCAAAAGGCGGGTCAAAAAGAAGTCGTGATGCCTCGCCCTGCACAGAAAACTCATCATTTCAATATTCAGTCTAAATTCGACCAAAATAAGCGATCCATTCCATTGTACAACGCATTTCCTCGACTTGAAGATATAAATAATGTAAGTATAACTAAATTATATTAAGATGAATGGCTATGTGATAATACAGGTATTGGAAGAGATTGTGAAACCCCCAAGTCTAAAAATAGCTTAGCCTGGCCGGGGGAGGTGGGTGACACAGCGCGCTAGAGGCCGGGTCAATCAGGGCTGGGTGGGGGACGAAGCATCGATATAAGCTCGAATCTCCCTCTCAACTAACCTATTTCAAACTGTCATGTATGAATGAATTGCAACGGAAATTTATTTTCTCCCTTCTTTACAGGACTCAACGAAAACAAGAAGAATTGGCAAGCGCTTTGTAGCTAGTGATTCGGACCTCGTTGTCGAATTAAGGGGCCTAAAACATCGTATCGCAACTTAAATAATTTCGCATTGAAACGCCAACTTACTTATATGAGACTGAATTAATTTAGCATTGTAGATATACGACAGTGACCTGACACTTCTTGAAACTCAATGAAAATCCAAAAAAAAGTAGGACATATAGCCGTAACATATTACTGGAAACTTTGTGTTAGTAATAATAATCTTCTATTGTAAATTTCTATTTCTTCTTGACGTTAATTTTAATTTCCACCAAAATTTGATTGGGTTAGATTCGTAGATGTATGGGAAAATGATCGTACAAAAAAGACTATAGGTATATAAGTGCGTTAGAGGAGGTTGTTAAATGTGAAATATGAGAACTATAGTTTATTTAAATATGTGGACCCTTCACGAGGCAGCTAATAATTGCACAAAATTGTGCATTTGTAAATAATTTAGGTACTGATTGTCTTAGAATTAGATAGAAGGTTATATTAAAATCTAATTTTTGTATACTAACTATTACTACTTTTTGAACTTTTTATTGCATAAGTAATTCATTTATGCTATCTGATTAAATAATATAAAATGGCGTCCACGCGATACTTTCTGCTATTTTAACGAATTTCTTAAGAACATAAATTACATGGAATGTAAATCATCATCATCAGAATGTAAAAGCCATTGCTACAGTTAACTATGTATACTACCACAAGCTGGTGCTATAACTTATTTTGTTACGTACCTATTACGGTCTAAGCAGACAATACCAGAGATCTTTTTGCGAAGCAAAACAAAATGATATTGTATAAAAAAAAAAACTTTATCGTATATAAGATGGAAGTGATTCTCTTGTATGGGAGAGGATGAGGTGATATTTTAGCTTTACAGCTTCTTGTCTAACACAGAGAGTCTTAAAGACATTTTTATAGTAAACCAAAGTATAGTAACGCAAGAACTGCATGCATTTTCAATATACCAATTTGTAAATATTTCACCCTTTTCCTAACCTGTATGTTAGTAACTTTTGTATTACACTTTTATATGTTCTATTGTCGTTAATGACTTATCTTTCTAAAGTACATATCTGATTATTATAACGTCACCATTCAAGGCGAAATAGTGTCAGCCGGAGTTAGTATAGATAGTGAATTAGACTCACATAATGTATTACTAGTTCCAATTAATATACCATTTGTTTAATGTAATTTCCATTCTTACTTTACCATTTGTAATTTGCTTTCTATTAATGCCTCATTCAAATTTAATATAAGACTTGAGTGAATGTAGGAAATGAAGGCTCTATCGAAACGAATTTTCGCGTAAATGGCTCAATTTGTGTACATAGATTGATCATTATCCATCAATCTATATTTTTAAATACGTCTGTTTCAATTAATTTCAAGATACTAGACAATTATTCATACGTATTGTATCTACGTAAATGTTATAATGTATCTCATGAAAAGGAATTAAAATATTTCAATGTCACCTGTTATTATTTTGTCCTGAAACACCTCCATTAATAAAAAACTCAACAACTTCATAATTGAAGTTCCGTTTCTTATTCCTTGCAATAAAGGTCTCCCTTTTTCAAGAAAATGTTTTCGGGAAATTTTTGAATAATGAGTAATAAAATTACTTTTTACAGTAATACAATGTATATAATAAACTAGCGAAACCAAAACTTACATATTTTTATACACTATTCAAATACTTTTTCCTGGAAACTTTTATTTTAATACAATAGAACTTATAAGTCAAAACTTCTAACAAGTTATTCATATATAATAATATAGCTGTCATAAGTCATTAGTAGTCGATTCCCAGCAAAACTAACGTTTTGAGTCTCAATTACACAAGACATTCCTAAGTGGAGGCACATAACTAGCACTCTTTGGTATTGAAAGTATAACGACAATCTGAAAATACACAAAAACAAGATACAAAAAATATAAAAAATAGCTCAGTGGCGCTACAGCCTCTTTAGGTCTTGGCCTCAGATTTCTGAATCTGTTTCATGATAATTTTTGAATCTAATAGGCAAGGATCAGGCTCCAGTGACTGACACACGCCGTCGACATTTTGGGTCTAAGACATGTCGGTTTCCTCACGATGTTTTCCTTCACCGTTCGAGCAAATGTTAAATGCGCACATATAAAGTCCATTGGTGCATAGCCGGGATCGAACCTACGACTTGAGGTATGAGAGTTGCACACTGAAACTAGGCCAACAATGCTCAAGCAAAACAAGATATAACCGTGGGAATAATATGTTATTAATACAAAACCTTTAATAATGTAAACGTCTGTATCGCTGTTCTTTTTTCCATTCACACATCATAGACCAAGTGTCAACTACCATTCAATAATTAATGATTTACAGTTTAGGATCATTAGATTCAAGATGCGATTGAGTCATAAAATACAATGCTCTATTGTCGGTCTATTGCTCCATTGTTGGTCTTATTTAAATTATATAAACCCTGGCTTAGGTTGTTCATTTATAAAGCTTAGCCAGTGCCGGATAAAGCCAGCGCGGGGCCTGTAGCAAATTCTGCCTAGGGGCCCTTGGTTAGGGTTTAGGATTTAAATAGTTCGCCTGTTTCCTCGAAATACTTATAATGGATATTATATTAAAATCGATTAGAAAAGTACAATCTCGGCTACGTAAACTCGCAAAATAAATGTATACCTATATAATAATAAAAATCTCAAGGGTACAAATAACATGCTAGTCTAAATATGTATATCGATTATAATTAAAATTTGAAAATTAAGGTTAAAAAGATATCGTCAATAGAAATAGCGATCCTAACCGCGATGTCACAATCTTTATAGAGTTATTCTATGTTTCTGTTTAAAAGTGATATATTATTATAAATAATAATGTAATATCCATAATTGCAATATCTGAGCACCATGTATCTATATAATAATTTAGTACCTACCAGGCCATATTGTTCTAGGTACATGGTCTTCACATTATAATTATCAAATCAATGTATACAATATATTGGAAAAATATTTTAAAAGAGTAAGTATGGAGTTTCTTGCCCATTCTTCTCAATATGAAACTACCTTTTGGAATGGAGTCATTTTTTTTTCCTATTGTTTTGACTTTCAAAATTGCCTTTTTAATAGGCTTATTGAAATGAATGATTTAACTTGACTCGCAATCAGAAAAATATGTAAAAACACTGTACGCAAAAAAAAAATATATCTTTCGATACATACATTTCGAATGGAATGCATTTGCATTACGAATTAGTTGACGTATACTTAAAAGTTAAGCCTTCATCGTACTTTAAAAAGTGATCTAATGTCACATCTCAATTCACATTCGCTTTATTGTTCCAAAGTTTTCTTTATAAATATTTATTTGGAACTTGTTAAATAGAAAGCAGCTGAATACATCTGACCTTTAACCTTTTCCACATAAAGGCAATTTTACTAGACAGTACGCCCACGTTCCCTTTCTTTTACAAGTTAAGTCAATAACATGCGAAACCTAATGAATAACGAGCTTTTATTTATTCTTCTAAATAATTCAAACGACTGTTTTATATCCCCTTTTATTTTCTACAATCCCTTCGAGATACAATTTGAAGATGAACACTATAATATGCTACAGAAATTCTATGCAATTATATATAATACAGACAACTAAACACTAAAACAATTTCGAGTACTTCTCGAAGGCTTTTGATCCATCCGAGAGCTAATTTCCCAACAGAAGAACATCCCTAGGTCTAACCCAAATATTCGGTACACTCTCGTACACTATTAGATAGGGTCTGAGGGCCTTGGATTATCTTACTTTCTAACACCACATTAAGAAAGGCTTCGAAGAGGTTATGTTTATTACTTATATCGGTTCGGTACACTCAACTATAACAAAACAGAATCATTGTTAAATCCTCTTTTATAAATGTTTCCTTAATCCATCTTTTTCATGCACACTTTCACTTAGATTTGTTTCGTCTCTAGTACCCTCGTTATAAAAACCAATTGTGTTAATTTGTTGAAGCTTGGATGTCACGGATATTTACTTTTTTTTATAATATAACGTTTTATTTAAATCAAGTATACAGTATTTACAACTGTCTTAACCTACAAAGTAATAATAAAAATTATTAAAAAGAAAATCAAAACAAATTTAAAAAGTTTGGTCCCTGTGGCAGTGTACCTTTCACGCTGGCAGCATTTCCTCGCTGTATTGCGATACTTATTCGTTGAGACAGGAAAGTGCCAGCTCTTAGATTAGAATTCATATTACTTATTAGGTATTATTATACAATGTTGAATTTTTTATATTTTTTTTATATTCGGAGTTTAAATAATATTGTAAATCTTTCGGTAGATCGAATATCACGACTTTTAGGTTTTTTTTTCTATTAACGATAAGAAGACTTCAGTTGAATTTATTTAAAAAAACATTTAAAAAAGATATTATATGAATTTTAAGACACATAGTAGAGAAACTTCATAAGGCTATAGTTACGTTTTATATCGTTACCAACTCATTATCTGTTTACAATGGATTGATTACTTTCACGTTTTGCATTTGCATTGCATGTACCCTCATCGTGGCAATAACACAAATAAGGGTTTGTTCTTGGTCTGGTAAAATCTTGTTATATTCACAACCAGTACAATGTAATGAATGTTATATAATTTATTAATTTGCCATAGTTGCAAAACCGTTATAATGCGAACAAAATAAAAACCCTGCGATGGACCGCAGAAAAATAGTCTGTTTTTAATTATGTTCGCAGGTCAATAAAAATTTAACAAAAAATACTTCGAATAATCGCATTAAATAGCCAGCCATAATACTTTTCCTCAGATTCGCGGACGAACCCACTGTAATGGTTAGTCAGTAAGTAAAATATCTACCATATTTTTTTTGTATTCAGGGGGTTCTAATAAATCGAATGGACAAAATAATTACTGCTACGAGCAAATGATTTAGTAGAGCGTTTTTTTACATTTTTACATCTACCTCCTATGATAATGGATGACCTGGATGTCTTATAGATTTACTTCGCTATCTAAACATTGACCACTAACCCCAGAGGCAGACACGAGAAAGTGATTTAGTATCAATTTTTATAGATTTAAACCCCCTGTAGCTTAAAAACGCAGCAACGTACTACCTTAATTCATTAAGAAAATTTTTCGTTTTTTTTTCTTGCTATCAATACGAGCAAATCATATACTTAATGCTCGCCAGCATCCTAGCTTTTACGGTAACAAGATAAAATAGTCGCTGCTGTGACGTTGGCGGTTGGACATGTTTAACCGTGGTTTAACAGCTGGTAAATAATAACTTAAGACAATAGTCAACTGTCAAGCCAGATATGAAATAAGTAATAATAATCATGTTTATGCAAAGTTTACTTCACTTCGCTTCACTTTATTTATAATGTTTATGCAAAGTTCAATAAAAAGTACATTGATAGCTGACAAATTAATGATAAATAGGTACAACAGTCAATGTTAGACGTCACTACTGTCATCGCCGTGACGGATGACCCTATACACACACCTACCATAACTTATCCATCATCTGTGACTACCGACTGTCTTGTTATTTCGGTAAAATGTCCGGGAATTTTGTTTATTTACTTACAACTTAAAAATTAAACGAGAGAAAGTTTTAGTATAGATTAAGTATAATTAGTATTTTTTTTATTATTTTAATTATAATTGGCTTATTAGTGAAAGTAAGATTCTTATGGAAGTTTTTATAGCTTGATTTTCTACGAGGACTTCCTATTGTATAACATAGCAGTGAATTTTTACCGTTACATTAAAACCACGTCACATCTCGAACAAATTGTATAATGCGTCGATCAAAAGGTTATCAAGATCTTGACGAAAATGCTAAAGAGCTACGCCAACCCGTGGTTTCCATGCCACCACCTCAAGAAATCGAAATGGCTTCAGTTTCGGTGGTACCAGATGGTACGTAGCACACGTATACTTTTCCGGAAGATCAAATACACAAATATCATTCAAAATACCAAGATTTGATAGTAATTTTAAATCACTTTTGTTAAATTTGAAAAACCTCCTTTTTTTTGCAGAATACTTACCATTTCCCTTAAGTTTGAAAGTTTGACCTCACCTTCAAGTATCATGTATATGCTACAGTGAAAATGAGTATGGAATCTCAGAATGTTACTATTCAGTTTATTAAATTGGCTTTCAGACACCTTTACAGTTACCCAAGCAGTAAATGCCCTCGGTTTTGGCTGGTTCCAAGTTAAATTATCACTTTTCACTGGTCTTTGTTGGATGGCTGATTCCATGGAAATGACAATATTGAGTATACTTTCTCCAGCTCTCCACTGTGAATGGAATATTAGCAAGTATGCCTTTAAATATCTTGCATGTAGTTTTAAATACAATGCTAAAAAGGTTTTCACTACCTCTATGGCTTGCATGTATGTGGCAGATAGCCTGGTTATTTTTCGCGTACTTTGAAATAAATTTAATTAATTCAATGTTTGAATGAAAGTAAGCGTATAAGGCTACCATCTGCTATCAACTATATTATGTTGTGTATATGTTTATAAAAGATCTAAATTCAATTGGTGCATTGCTTATCTGATACCTCCTAAGTATACTGAGTCAACTGACATTTTAGTAATTTTATAGGAGAGCCATTTTAAGGCAAATTGTTTATATTTTAATGAAATCAAACTAATTCGGAATAAATTAAATGTTTTTTTAATAAAGATTGAAAGCTCTTCCTTTGGTATAACATGATTTTGCTGAATTTTGTTTTTAAATGATATTTTATGTACATGACTCATTATACACGGGCGGGCCTGAATAGTAAAATGGTTTAACTACCAGTTATATTCATGTACGTTGTACATGAAAATCCATGACTTACTCGAAAATATTACGAAATATGATAATCATTTTATTAATATCATACTACTTTTGGTTATTTTCGATTTTTTTGTCCCACTTAATAATAAAATGTTGAAATTACATCACTTGACTCATTATACTAGGAAAGTACTTACCTATGTTAGTAGTTAAAACCTCAACGTATACTGGACTAATATAATTAATCGAGGCTTTTTAATTACTCATTTTAGGTATTTCGAATACCTCACGAAATTAATAAAGGTTAGGAAGAAGTAGTCTCATTTAACAAAACAACACATTTAAAGAATCACAATGTATTTTTCGTTTATACTAAGTAGGACCCGTTTTTGTAGTTTTTGTATCCGACCCGTTTTTGTATCATGAAAGTTTCTTGAAAAGTAACAAACATCAATAAAAATAATAGAAACTAAAAATGGTAACTTACGTTAAACAATATTAATAAAAATAATAGATATGAATAATATAAATATCTAAAAATCTAGGAAATTCTAACGCTCAAAAAAATTTCTATAAGGTTAAACAAAATAAATAAAAATATTAAAGGTTGAACGAATCAAAAATCAGTCTGAATCACTATCTTCTGCTCCATTAGAGTTATTTAGATAGATAGATAGATCCATCATTAGTAGTTGTCCAGTTGTTTATAAGTTTTGACTTTGATTTGAAGTCCTTTATTAAATCCTGAGACACTTCAATAACTGTGTATGTATCTTAAAGCTGTATATCATTGATCAGGCATATAAAGCTTTTTATCTTTGTCCGTCTTTCAATTAAAGCGTGCATACTGTCGCCTTCACTTTGTGAATGACCCACTATTAGAAAGCGATGGCTAATAGCTATACTACACTTTAAACTACCTAACATATACATTAAGAAATAAATCCTATTTCTATGTTGGCCTCCACAGTTGTCTGACTAAAACCGGTAATCATTGACACCTTCACCACCCGTATCTTCTATAAACTTAAAATGATAGTTGGAAATTTCAATTGCACCTCTCTTTGCTGTCTGTTGATACCATCAAAAGCAATCACCTTGGCGAGATCCCAGAATGAATATCGTGAAATTATACAAATAATGTTTCCGTTTATAATAAAAAGTACTCACGCTCTCGTGAGGTACATACATTAAGACACTTTTGAAGATCAGATGCTGATGTAAGGATTTCATTATTTTGTAACGCTGATTTTTTATCTTTTGTTTTAATTTTTCTAGCTTTCTCTTTTTTTTTAAAATGCTCTTCATGCTTTTCTTTATCTGTCTGTAGAACTTGCTTGTTATTTTCATAAATGTGACATTGTTCACAAAAATCTTTTTTGGGTTTATAAAAACTATATATAGATATCTCGATATTGTCTCACGGTAGTCCATAAACCATTCGATTCATGAACAGTTTTGGGAAGGATAAAAAGCCTTCTAGATAATTTTTACTTGATTTTTGGCGAGTGTAATATGACTCTACAGGAGAAAATGCTTCAACGTGATCTATAACACTGTGAACGTCATCGGATGGATTATATGTTCATCCAAAGACCACGCTGATCTGATTTAATAAATCCATTACCTTTATCGGACTTTTCTAAAGCTGTATAAGCAAAATCAAAACTAATAGAAAGAGTTCTCATGAACATAGTTTTGCAAACCGATATTTTTGTGGTCTCAATATTATCTCCTTCACTCCTTTTTTATCGACAATATTTTTTCTCTTTTTTTCCAGCTTTTACAGCATATCTTGCCAAAAAACCCATTGTCTTGAGTGGTCCAATAATCCAAAACATTCTGTTAATTTCTCACTGCATTTTTTCCATAAGTTGAGGGGCAAGAAGTTTTCATAATTCTCGTAGCATGAACTCTTCCGTTTCTACTGACATATTCCAATCCTCTATTAAGCTTATATTTCCTCTCCTTATCCATACATTTTTTATGAAAACTCTTAGCCTTTCTTTATCTTTTTTCGCAATGGAAATGCGCTTTTGGCGTTATTGGACGATGAGTATGTGATATCATTAATGTCAGAAATTAACAGGAGATGAGTCAAAAGAATTATACGGCGATGGTACTGGAGTAATATCACAATAATTTTCTATAATGCTATTCTGGATGGGCGAATTACCTGGAGTGTTCTCTATGACTGATGGCGATCGATCTCCTTTTTGAGTTCAGTTATCAACAATCGATACCCAAGGCGAAGAGCAAAGAATAATATAATCTAGGAATAATATGTAAGCATTAGAAGGGATATTCTGCGATACTTCCTTGCTATCATTCTAATCAATATCATCAAGTATTGATAGCTCCTCTTCCATAAATTTGCAATTTTTTTTGCAATTTGCATCTTCCATAAATCTTCCATAAATTAGCAATTTGCATCCGGTGGCAATGGAGACTCTAAAACAAACAACAATTAAAAACACAAGAATTCATATTTTTATATTTAACGTGCCAATATCAAGATATAAAATTTATAACACATAAAAAAATATATTATACCACAATTAAAACAAATATATCAAAAATTTAATTAGTACATTATTATAGCCAGATAAGTCAAGTGTCTTCTTTATAAAGTTTGTTCGTTGTAAACAGGTGTAAATATAGTTGTATCAGTATACGGCGTACTAAGCGACGTGTAACAATTATCAAACAAAAATGGCAAAATCACACTATATGTAACATAAATAAAGTATATCAATGTAACTTACCATATTCAGCCCTGTTTTGCATTATATCACCGATTCCTGAGATATTGCTAATTGTATCATTAGTATTATTCACCTTATTATTGAGAAAATTAAAAAAATTTCGCGCCCTCGCCGTCATTTGTCGTATACTGAGCCATAATAAACTTGTATCAATGCGTCCCTCCTTACGCCCCGCGAACACTGATACAATGTTATTTGGATCAGTATACAATGTACGATTTTAACTGATGTTGAAATTGATTTAGTATACGTGAAATTATCTCGGTAATTATAGGTATTATCCACAGGTGAACCCACTAACTGGCCTACTGATGCCAAGAAGGTGCCTGATCTCATAGACTTCTTTATTACTAAAGGATTAACGAAGTTATACATGAAACCTGAGTCTTGTTATGACAGCTCTACAGATCACACTCCGGTGCTCCTGACCATTAGTACTAACCTAATAGAGGTAACAAGATCAATAAGGTTATGTAATAAACGCACAGACTGGAACACATTCCGTGAGCACATTGAGGAATCAATAAATATGAAAATGGCCCTTAAAACACCCGAAGATGTAGATGAAGCAGCTAAATACATAACGCTGTTAATACAGGAAGCATGCTGGATAAGTACTCCTGAAATTCAGACCCCCAACAATAGTGGAGTAAACAACTATCCCCTAGAAATAAAAAAGGCTGTCCTTGAGAAGAGACGACGTCGAAGAATTTGGCACTTAAGTAGGCTTACTGTGGACAAAACCAACTTTAACAGAGCTGCAGAAGATCTCAAGTCACTATTGCAAAATTGGCATGATAACTCATTCCAAGCAAAGCTAGAAAGCCTAACTGCTACAGAGTCTACAAACTACTCGCTCTGGAAAATAACCAAAAGTTTCGACAGACCACAAGCTGCTAAACCACCCTTAAAGTGTGCTGAAGGATGGGTGAGAAAACCACAGCAAAAAGCAGACCTATTTGCTAAACACCTGTCAAAAGTATTCTGCCCAAATGATTCCGTAGACGATAAGTTTGATGATCAAGTGGACACAACACTAAACCAAGACCTTCAAATGAATCTACCACCAAAACCTGTGTCAGTACGGGAAGTTTGGAGAGTTATAAGGGAACTAAAGGATAGAAAAGCACCGGGCTTCGACCTTATAACCAAAGAAATAATTACACAACTGCCCCGAAAAGCCGTAACGTACATTACCACACTATGTAATGGGATATTAAGAGTCCAACATTTCCCAGATATATGGAAAGTATCTCAAATAATAATGATATATAAAGACGGAAAACCACCAAACGAAGTCACATCTTATAGACCTATAAGTTTGCTTCCGATACTATCAAAAGTTTTCGAAAAACTACTTCTTCGACGTATTCTTCCGATCTTATCTGAAAAAGGCACCATACCCAGCCATCAGTTCGGCTTCAGACAGCAACACTCTACGGTGGAACAGGTTCATAGAGTCTGCGACAAGATAAGAAAGACACTGGAAGAAAAAGAATACTGTGCTGCAGTGTTCCTGGATATACAACAGGCCTTTGATAGAGTCTGGCACAAGGGCCTGCTATGTAAAATAAAAAGTTATCTTCCACACTGCTACTTTTTGATATTTCATTCATATCTCTCGGGAAGATTATTCCAGGTCAAAGAAGGAGAAACAACATCAGATTTCTTTGAAATAAAAGCTGGCGTACCACAGGGGTCAGTGTTGGGTCCGGTACTCTATACTATATTCACAGCTGACCTGCCTTGTTCAAGTACCATAACTACAGCCACGTTCGCAGACGATACCGCTATCCTGGCAAGTCACAAGGACCCAGTAATAGCCTCAAAAATCCTACAGAAAGGCCTAGATGATACAACTAAATGGCTTCAAAACTGGCGGATCAAAACTAGTACATCGAAATCGGTACAGGTTACCTACACCCTATGCAAAGGCAATTGCCCCTCAGTGAAGGTAGGAAATACCACCCTTCCTCACCGGAATTGTGTCAGATACCTTGGTCTTCATCTTGATAGGCGTATGACATGGAATGATCACATCAAAAAGAAGCGAGATGAACTGAATATTAGATATAAAAGCTACCTGTGGTTGCTAGGCCGAAACAGCAAACTGTCTGTAGACAATAAACTACTAGTGTACAAGTCGATCCTGAAACCTGTATGGATGTACGGCCTTCAACTATGGGGTAGTGCTTGTAACTCCTCCATCATGCGCATACAAAGAATGCAGAACATTATTCTCCGGACCATCAGTAATGTCCCCTGGTATGTGACTAATGCTGAGATCCACGAACACCTGGGAATGCTCACAGTGAGAGAAGAAATAACAAATATCAAGACCAGATACAGGGAACGGCTAGCAACCCACCCCAATGCCCTTGCACGACAGCTCACGATGCAGAGCTATGTTAAACGCCTTAAGCGAAAAAACATTCTATAATGTGAAGAATTATGAGTAGATGTTCTCACTGGAGGAACGAGATAACCATCCAACATATTTGCTAAAAGTGAAAGCACTGATTGCAGATGGCGAATATACAAAAAAAAAAAAAAAAAAATTATAGGTCTTTTAAAAAAAAAATAACACTAACATTAAGATCATGGTTTATTATGTACTTTTGTATAAAAAAACAAAATACCTAAATTTGTTAGATGACTCAGTATACTTAGGAGGTATCGATCTGATCATGTGAATAATTAATTTTTCTTATTTTAAATAAAAATATTTAAAAGTCATTGCATATTTCAGGTACCAGCAAGCCTTAACAACAACAGTGGTATTTATGGGCATGATGTTGAGCTCTACTTTTTGGGGAAACATAAGTGATAGATATGGAAGAAAAACGGTAAGTACATAAAAAATAATTGGTCCCTTAAGACAGGGACCTTTATTTATCTGCTTTCGCTAAACATCTAACTCTGGTCATTTAATTTTAATTCAAACTCAATTATTAGCTATTGGGGCACACTTGCTGATATAGCCTGACCTATTTAAGAAAATAAATTTAGTGTTATAAGTGTAATTAAATAGGTAGTAAAATTTCTACACAATAGTATCCTGCGTGTTTTATTCATTAAAAAGTAAAAAATATGGTCAGAAAAAACAAACCAAATGGATAGCGTTAGTGGAATTTTATGGATTAGTAGTATTAGAAGAAGTTTATAGGAGTTAATAATTTTTTTCAGGCTCTCAGTATGTGTGGTGTATTACTATTCTACTATGGTCTACTCAGTGCCATCGCACCAAATTTTCTATGGCTTCTATTTTTGAGAGGTCTTGTGGGTTTTGCTATAGGATGCGTTCCACAATCGTAAGTATTATTATTTATTTATCTTTTTTATTCGAATTGAATAGAAAATATTTTTTTATTGCATAAGTTTTATGTAATTTTGTTCTAAAATGACTTGCGAAGGTTTAAAACATAATATTATTCCAAATATATACGCAAACATGATTGAATTTCAAACCATTTCATTTGATTTCAATAATTTAGGAAAAAAGTAGACAAATACTATGTTGCAGACAATATATGTATGGTTTTTTATGTATTTTTTGGTTCAATATGTAACTATAATTTTTTTATAAATGTTAATACCTACTATTTTTGACTCTCTTGACTGTTTTTAGATTGAGAAATCACTTCAGTAGAAGTGTTGTTTTAAATATTATTTATTTAAAAAAAAAACTAATTGCAGAATTTTAACTAAAAAACTCATGTGTTTCATCTCGACGGAAACACAATTTGATAGAAAGTGACGAAAGATAATTTTTGTTTATAGTGTTTATGAATAGTATTGTAGCTGCGTGCATGCTCACTGAAATATCATTGCTTGTGGTGGCGGCCGGCCATGCATCGGGTTGTCGCTCTCCCTGCAATATGCATAGGGGACGCGACGGCTGGCCATGCGTCGTGCACATTAACGAGTGCTTGAACTCGTATATTATCTATAATTTCAACCAGTCATTTTACGTTTTAAACTTGATCGAATATGTTTTGTTCTCACTATAACGTCAGTGCGTGCTTCTATTTAGTAAATTTAGTCTGGTGCTAAGCATTTTTAACTTTAATATAATATTTGGTTTCAATATTTCAAGTGAAGCAAGCAGCTTACATTTTCTTTATACAAAGCTTGGCGATTATAAAGAGTGTCGGAGAGTTCTAAAAGTATGATTAGGGAACTGTTAATGTAAATTTAGATCTTTCTATTTCAATATTGATGTACATTCTAATATGATTAAGAAATGACTTTGATATTTTCAGTGTAACATTGTACGCGGAGTTTTTACCAACTAAACAGCGCGCGAAGTGTGTGGTACTACTGGACGTAAGTACTTATTTCTTAGCAATGTTGACATTGTCTTTTGGAATGATTTAAAAGACGCATTAACGGACAATCATTAACGGATTTTCTATATAAGTTATTAGTACTTGATAGTACAGTGAAGGTAAACATTGTGAATATCCAATTATCGATGACATGTGTCAGAAACAGAAGGCTGATCACCTACTTCTCTGTGAAATAAAAATTACCAAAGAAACAGTTGCAATCTGAAGCTACTACTCACCCGCTGTGGGTTTTAGCGCCACTGTATTATTATTATTAACAACAGTACACAATGTTTGTACAAAAATGAAGAAATGTCTTCTATACATTCGTAGATTATGACAATTTTTTCTAGTCCAACACTGCTCTATTGATCGCTCTGCTCGGTCACCGTGATTTACTGTTATTACTTTTTTTTAATTAAATGGAATACATATTTTAAACTAAAGATTTCTTGAATCTATGTATTATTATTTTTAGGTAATAATTTTTATATTTCAGTGTTTTTGGGCACTAGGTGCGTGTTTAGAAGTAGCTGTGGCCTTAGTGGTAATGCCTACCCTTGGAGTACATTGGCTGCTGGCGATTTCCACAATTCCTTTGCTCATATTTGCTATCATATGTCCAGTAAGTATTGTTTTCAAAAAAATTACTACGAGACCAAAATTCTTTAAATATCATATATCCGTCTTGAAGTAGGAACTTTTTTTTTTGGAAATAGATTATAATAATAGACTTCTTTTGTGATATTTAATGTATATCGCATGAAAAGGTTGTAATGACACCTACCATCTAGATATGAGTAGTTTATAAACAGGTGCCAGTAACATGTCCTTAATAAAAATATAATCTGTGACAATTTGTTCAAAAGTTTCTTTCAATAACGTTAATATTTAAAAAAATCTAAAGCAAGCAAATGTCAATAACACAGTTTGATAGTTGCGTACTGTTTTATCGACTATTTTTACCTGTTTTTATTATATACCTATTAACACTATAGCTGTACTTTAATTGTAACTATTTACATGTAATATTTAAATTAATTAGCAAATAGATTAGTAATGACGAAGTCATAAACAAATAGTTTCTAACGAATTTGAAATTAATAATAATAATAAGTCTTCATTCATCCATATCTTATACATACATTTAATAAAAATATATAAATAATAATATTTTTACTATATCGTCATCCAATTTTTTTCCCTTTCGAATCGTCGACCCATCGCTCTATTGGTTTAACATAGTTCTTTTTGGACCAGTACATTCGGTTACTGTGTTAGACACAATTTAAAATTAGTATTTAAAAAAGAAATACGCGATTTGTTTAAACTGGCCTCACTATTGCGTTGAAGCAACGAGAACAACCATCCCTACTACAAATCATGACGATGTCGTCATACATTTAAATAAGCTAGTAAAATTAATCGGATCTCTAAGGATATATTATATACAACTTCTGGACCTTAGCCATTGAGGCCTTCGGGTCAGTCAGTGGCTAGACTGATCGAGGAACCATCCGTCTTCCTCAAGATGTAACATATTTTGCCGCCAGTTGCTCTCCTTTTTATTTAATTTATGTCAATTGTACTATATTAATGTATATGCAACGAAGTGTTAATAAATAAATAAATACATATTTTTTATGTGTAATTTTTACATTTCAGTGGCTTCCAGAGTCCGCACGATTCCATGTAGCAAGTGGACAGCCTGATAAAGCATTGGCAACGCTAGAAAAGGTATTTTTTGTAACATTAAAAACACTACAATTATTAGTGATTTTAGATTTTTTATACTCCTTCATTTGTCGTATTCGCGTTGACACTTTTCATGTTATACCACGTATTTATGTGCGAATGTATGAAACTACATAACTAGCTAATGAAACGTTCGTGTATAAACTATTCATTGTCTTGAATTTCAATTAAATAGATATAAGATACTTTTCCGAAATCTTATTTTTCGAAGTACCATATCGTGGATTACATTTGAAACCATAATTTTGAAAAGTGTAGAAAATAACTTAAATTGTAAATGTCAATACTTATAATTTACGATTAAATATTTATCTGACTTAATTATTGTTTTTATATTGTTCATTTTTATTTATAAAAAAGTATTAATTAATTTAAAGTTTCGTCATTGAAAAACAATCTAAACTTGGTATCAGTCTGTTTTGTTCGGTACCACAGTTTTCCTTAATAAATAATATAATACTACAATTTTATGTGTTGGCCTGGTGGCTTCAGCGACTCTCATCTGTGATTCGATCCCCGGTGGTGCGCCAAGGACTTTCTGTCTATGTGCGCCTCTAAAACTCGCTTCGTACGGTGAAGGAAAACATGAGGAAACCAGCATGTATCGCGTGTCAGACACAGATGACTGATGAGATATGTCTATGGAATAAAAATAATCCATCCGTTTTGATTCTAAGCCCTTGTAGCACTCCTGGATTATTCTTTATTACTCCTCCTACTTAAAATAATATTAACAAAAAATTCAGATAGCCCAAGACAATGGGCGGCCGATGTTATTAGGAAGACTGGTTTGTGACGATTCAGTGGGTATAGGACAACGCGGTCGACTCAAACATCTACTCATCCCGCACTTACGGAATACAAGCCTCCTTCTTTGGGTCATTTGGTAAGTGTGGTTGAAGTTTATACAGACCTCATCATATTTTCAGATACAGTGTGAACTGTACAGTCCCTCGATATAACGACAAACTCCCTAAAGCTTCGAAATCAATTTGCTTTAGCTTGATTTAGCTTGTCTTCCATACAATGATACACTCTCAGTTCATAATGCGTCGACTATAGTTATGTATATATTTTAGTTAATAATAAGAAACGCAAACCAAATATTAGCAATTATCGCACACTTAAAGACAAAATGAGCTCTTTTTTCCCACACTAATACATTGTAATATAACATTCTCGTTTCCGATAATGTCCAAATTCAAATTCAAAAATCATTTATTCACGTAGGTAACACAATGTACACTTGTGATTCGTCATTAAAGAAATAAATATTAATGCTTCTAATTTTACATTTACTGCCAGTTCTCAAATCAAGGGCGTAGAACGGAAGAGAAGAACAATAGGTCGACATATATTCTTTATAGGTAACATACATAAGTGTCACTTAGATTTAATAACCCTTTCATTTAGTTAGTTTTTTGTCTAGCATCGCAACCCCTAATTTTGTCTTGGTTATAAGCTCATATTTTAAACGATTAAAGCCAGTTGATACCCAGCTTCAAACAAAGTGTTGTATTTAACATATATTTGAACATTTTTACAACAACCGCCATAGAACTTAACTCACTCTTAAGTAAATTTTGTATGTTATAGCCAAGTTCACATTTCAAAGATCGTCATGCTCGCTTAAATGTCATTGCTTGTGGCGGCGTCCATGCGTCGGGTTGTCTCTCTCCCAAAAATATGGCGAGGGACCGATGGCTGGCCATGCGTCATGCTCGTGAACGGGTGCTACTAGTGGTGACTAGTCGTACTTGAATGCGTGTATGCGGTGATGTTAGTTATTTCGACTATGTGTTTGCGTGTTGTTCCCACGAGAATGTAAGTGCGTGCTCCTATTTCACCATGCCTCCTGCTGATAGAGGACAAGTATTTGTTTTTAATTTATGTTATTATTATTAATTACTTAAGATGTCATGTGGAACATGGTGTAATGGTTGCAGCTCCTTACAAACGTTGTGTAAAAAAAAACATGGCGATTAAAAAAAGTGGCGGAGAGTTTATTTCCAGTTCTTCTCTTCCGTTCTACGACCTTGATTTGAGAACTGGCACTAAATGTAAAGTTAGAAGCATTTCATATACTTTTTTAAGACGTTCGAAAGTGTATGATTAAATGATTTTTGACTTTTGACTATAAATATCTGTGTGTAGAAAATAAATAAAGGCTAAAAAAAAGTATAAAAAACAAATGATAGTTTATCCGTGTTGTGTTAATAGGATGTCGTGTGCCTTCTGCTATTACGGCCTAGTGCTGATGACGACGGAGCTCTTTGAAACCGGTCCGTCTGGTAGCGAAGAAGCGTGTGCTGCGGACTGCCGTCCATTGCAGACTACAGACTATATGGACTTATTGTGGACCACTCTTGCTGAATTTCCTGGTATGTATTTTATATGTAAATTTTTATTAACTGACATATTTTACATTTTTTAAATCAAAAATTTGCCATTATCCGAATATTGTGGATTTATCTTTATTTAAAAACGTTGTTTAATTTGAGTAGAGACATTACCATATCGGCGTGATGAACACAAAATGTTTGACAGTTACATATACACGAAACCCATAAACATTATATTTCTTTTATTTTATTTTTTCGTAAATTTTGTAATACCAAATAACCAAAAACCATGAAGCCACCGAGTTAGAAGTTTTCGAACATACTCGAATTTTATTAAAATGAAATATTACTTTGTATTATAATTTTGCAGGTATCTTCGCAACAATATTTATAATTGAAAAGTTTGGACGGAAAAGAACAATGGCGATCCAGTTTCTTATATTCGCATTGTGCGTCTGTCTCCTTATTTATAACACCAAGTGAGTATAAAAAGATGTAAATTGTTGCAAATTGACAAAGTTCTTGGGTTTCTGAAATCTATAAAAGTAGCCGAGTGTCCCCAATACGAATTACCATACGCAGATTGTGCGATAATTATTTTATGTATAAAACTGGTAATGATCCTGGTAGATATGATAATCTTGATCTATAATAGTCAATTTAAGATACGTATACGGCTCTGGGACTTGCCACGTGACCTTATTAATACAAATTCGTTTGTGGTCAATGTTGAAAAGTGGTTCTGACTCCTTGTTCATTCATCTATCCTACAAGGAAGCACCTTGTAGGATAGATGAATGATGATAATGATGACTGAAGCCAGGTACACCGTACACACCGCGCCGACATGTGCCAAGTTTGCTAGTGGTGAGCATAGATGGCGCTATTTCCATGTGAAGAGTATATTTAATCATATATGTCTTAAAATAACAGATATGTTTTCAAGTTTTTTCTGTATGACTCCTTAATGTGTTTTTTTGATATAAAATGCATTATTTTATGAATATATCCATCAATGCATTAGATACCCTGACCGAAATCTACGTAGCTGGCTTCCAATTATGAAAACCCCAGACCAATACAAAGGGCTTTAGACAAAATCACTTATCGCCAGGCGCGGCCCAAATTTTTTATATGGTAATTTATTTATTCAAAAAAATTCTATTATCTCTAATCACTATTCTTATGGAAATAGCGCCATCTATGCTGGATATTAGCTAACTTGACTAATGTTGGCGCAGTATGCACATGTCAGCTATCGTACTAGAGCCTTGACACAAACATTTTTCGACACTTTACTAAGGCTAAAGAAATTTGTATGGAAATGACATTAGCTCACGCATTGTCACGTGACCATTTTCATACAAATTCGTTTGGTCTTAGTGGGTCACGCATGTCGAAAAGTGATGTTGTCTCAAGTCCAAGGGCACTGGTCTCTGATCCGTAATGTTTTAAATTAGAGAAGAAGAAGACGAATTATTAGAATTTAAAAAGGTTTGTTTAAACGGATTTCAACTTTTTCTTTTAGCCGTACCTTCCTGACATGCGTCTTATTTCTGGCTCGTGGTATCATCGCTGGATTGTTCCAAGCCGCGTACGTTTATACACCAGAGGTATGTAAAATGATATTTTAAACAATTTTTTGTATGTTTATGTAACGCAAAAATATGTGATAAAGTATGTGTTAAAATTTTTATTTAATTTACAATAACAAAATTAACTGCCCTTACCTGAGTACCCATACAGCGAAATTCGCTTTTGCCTTTTATTTAACGATATTTAATAAATAGTGAATTTCATTTCATCATTCTTTAACAAGCTAAAGGCAAATTTTATTTTAATCATAATTCATCTTATTAGGAGCAAGCTTACAGCTCCTTAGCATATTAAAAAGGTAGCCATTATAAGAAGTGTGAGATGTTGCTGATCAAAACAAATAATCCATGTTCCGTGGATCGGTATGCATTTTTTGTGAAGGTCTTACGCTGAGTACGATTGAAAAGCACTCGAAAAATGCAGTTATAAAATTCGTGTTTCACAACTGTATAGTAAAGTTTTCAACACGTATACTTGAAAGATGTTTTATAATATTTTTGTTATGGTTATTTCAATCTTAGGTGTACCCTACGGCGTTGAGGTCGACAGCGGTAGGCGCTTGTAGTGGTGTTGCCAGATTAGGGGCAATGGTCACCCCGTATGTTGCACAGGTATGTACTGGAGCCTGTGGCGATTAAATAAAAGATATATTCACTACTAGTCAAGTCAAAAAAAATTAAAAGTGTTTGTTCTAGTAAAAAAAAAATAGTTTAGCTTAGACTAACTTTATAAACTCTAATTACAGTACTCTGCCATTTATAAGTCGCATCGTGCTTTAGAAAGAGATACTCGGCTAGCTTTGGCTTTGTATAGCGCCGTCTCTGTCACCCTTGTCAACCCGGTCGTTTAGTCGCTGACTTGTCACTCGTAGTTCAACGTCGCAGTGTTTCGTTTCGTGTGAGAGAGTTGACGCTCTACAAAGCCGAAGCTAGCCGATTATATCTTTCTAAAGCACGATGCGACTTATAAATGGCCTGATACTGTAATTGCTATTTTTACGATGCAATTAATCCGATTTGATATAATTAATATACTATTAACTCTTTTTAGTTTAAAGCTAGTTTTCAGTTGAATTAAAAAACACAGTACTCAGTAAACAGTTTTTTTTTTAATGTTTTAAGTTTCGTCTTAACTATTAAATTTTTTACAGGTTCTACTAAAAAATTCGATTGTGATAGCAACGGGTGTATATTCGTTCGCTGCTATATTAGCTGCGATGGCGTGTCTTGCGCTTCCCATCGAGACAAAGGGCAGGGAAATGAGAGACACTATAACTGCAACTGGTTAGGCCGAAAATAAGTATAAAAAAAGGGTGCGAGTACTTATCGTACGCGCGTAAGAAGTTATACTTCTTTGGCATTATTAAAAATAGGTTTTGATTGCATGCAAATAATTAATTACAATTAAATAATCAAAGACTGGAAAAGGAGTCATTATAGTCAATAAAGTTCAGTTTACATTTAAAAAATTTAATAAATAAATATTTATTATTATTCTCTTACATTAAGTGTAACATAAATTCTATTATTCGAATGTTGTTTTTAAATTATATCCAATGCGTGTCACGGTGTGCGCGTATCGTAAAATTTCACTCTCATAATTTTTTCATAACGCGCCTAAAGAAGTATAACTTCAAAAAAAATTAATAAAAAATATATAAGAAGCACAAGTACAGAAAGAAGTAAAAGGATGTAAGTGACCTTTTTGCGTGAATTAATTTGTAAAAATAAATTCCGATGTACATAGTTGATTTTTTAATTAATTTTTTTTTTCGTTAAGATTATAGACATAGAATTGTAGGCTTATGACTCTATGTGTAATTTAATTGTCCTACTATCACCGAATGTGTAATAAATTTAATGAAAACACAATTATAAGGTATAAAAACTAGACATTTGCATCTAGAATCTAGATGGACCTTTAAATTACCTAACATAAAGAGCGATTAAGTATTTAATTTTAATGGTCTGAACATGTTTATTTTCGGTATGTCTTCCTTACAATTAAAATATTGTGTAGAAATTTTAATCTATTGATATTTCATTAAGAATTTGCATATACAAATATATTTAAGAATGTTGACTTGAAGACTGTTATTGACTGAATTAATCAAATATATTTTAAAATAATAATTATCATTCAACTATAAGTGATAGATTTAATCTTGTTTAATATAGAAAATTTAGAGTAATTTATTTATTGAATTAACTCCAAAGAATTTCTACTTAAGTATTATTATATTGATCCGTCCATTAACATATACTATTTACCGATATAAGAATACTCAAAACTCGCCCTAGTGCCACGCGTATATACGTCTAAAACGTACTTTAAGTATTATATTTTGACGTTGACTGTACTTGATTTTTTATACTTCGTTTATTAAGCCGCGTATCCATCGTGCAAGTGATTTGAATTGGATACAAGATTTTGTTCAACTTGCAGCGTGCATACAAGTTAGTTCTCCTAGTTGAACAGCGCTTATCTTGAGAAGAACACGTGATGTGATAAATTTTAAAATCTAATAGATAAAATTCTCGTGTCGCGGTGTTTGTAGTTAAACTCTTCCGAAACGGCTTGACCGATTCTCATGAAATTTTGTGTGCATATTGGGTATGTCTTATAAGGGTTTTTAAAATTAAATTATTTAAATAAATTAAATTATTTTTAGATAATTATTTTATACAACCCCTAATTTTCATCCCTCTACAATCAACCCCTATTTTTTATTTTAAATTATATACATGGCAAAACGACGCTAAACGAGCTAGTAAAATATAAATATTATTTTTTTCTCTGTATCCCACTTAGCACTCTCTATAGACGAGCCCATGCGCTTACGCTTGCAACTTGTATGCAAGTCATTTGCGTAATGGAAACGCGGCTTTAGATTTTATGCCGGCTGCACACACTCGGCGAGAGACTCTCGTGGAGTCTCGACTGAGAGGACCGAGAGAAGAGCGCAGCCTGTACACACTCGTTACGTTAATTGTATTTAAAACACCGTAAATAATGGACGTGGAAACCGCTGCTGCTGTTTGTCATTGTGCAATAAGTTATTATAATTTTCTACACGTTTACCATAAAAAAAATACGAAGCAATGGCGAAGAAGATGGTTGATGGTTACTATGCACCGCATTAGAAATAGGTAATTAGGTTCGTAAAGTTTTAATATTATCCAAAATCAATCACGAGTGTGTACAGGTCGCTCTCGTTTTACTCTCGAGACCCTTTGACTCGTTCGCAAAAAACCGACAGGCGACCGAGAGAGGCGAGACCAACTGCTAGGAAGCGAGACGAGACCTCTATTGTACACTCTCGCGCTCGGCCTGTCTCGGGGTGTCTCGATGAGTGTGTACAGCCGGCATTAAAAAAATATAAAAATATCGCCAAATAGTAGTACGATTGGTGTATTATATAGAAATCCCGCAAACTTTAAAGTTAATTGTTAGTTTTTCAATGATCTCCATTAGTATGATACTTATTAAATGATTTTATTCTGGTCCTGGTCCCATTTAACATGTTTCAGTAATGAATCACATTTGCCAAAACAAATTATTGGCAGAATGTTCTCTCTAAACGGGAGTTAAAATTGTCTTCCATTAACCTTTACATTATTTGTGCATTTTTACTATCTTTCATATATATTTTATATATAGATATTTTTTCTTACTTTTTTATATGTACTACAATAAGTTTACGTGTACTATGAATTTTTTAAGTGTCAAATTTTGTAAAAGGATACTATAAGAAAGAATATAGGAAACATTCTTGTTGTTGTAACCAGATTTGGTATGAATAAGTATCAAGTGTCGGGAAGCAATATTTGTACTAATAAATAAAGAGGTCATTATTGTGAGTTCGTGACGTAATCTCTGAATCTACAGAATTTATTTTGTAAATTCTTTTACCAATACAAAACTACGTACGGTAGTCAAACTTGCAGTTGGAGAAAAAACGGTCGAACGGAAACGTTTAAGAACGGTGCCTTAACGATTTCGAGATATTAATATGATTCAGTTCTAGAGATTATGAAGCCTACAAAAAAGTCAGTGACAGCTTGTCTAACTTATATCTAATATATAAAATTCTCGTGTCACAATGTTCGTTCCCAATGTTAAATGGTTCGACCGATTCTTATGAAATTTTTTATGCATATTTAGTAGGTCTGAGAATCGGCTACTATCTATCTTTTAAACTCCTAAGTGATAAGGTGTGTCCGCCAAAAAAATTGTTTTTATTTTTTAGATTTTTTTTTTGTTTTTATGATACAGCATACAACAATACATACGGCCCCTCATTTTCATCCCTCTACGATCAACCCCTATTTTTTATTATTGTAGATAGTTATTTTTATTGAACTAAAAATTGTTTCCTAGAAATAATATACATGGCAAAACAAACGTTTGCCGGGTCATCTAGTATTATATAAAAAGAAGTATTATATAATATTATTATTAGTAAGTATTATATAGTATTTTTTAGTAACAGGCAAACAAAAAAATATGTATAAAATATTTACCTACTATAGGAAGTATTGATACTCGGCTCAGATATAATAAACCCTTGTACTTTAACATTCGGATTTTAAAACTAAGTTAGTCATCATTTTAAATATTCTCAATATTTCTTATTGTCAATAATTTTATTTTTGACAGTTACTGTACTTAAATTTTTGATACAGGAAGTAATTTAAGAATGATCGCATTATTTATTATTATTATATAAACGATAATTCTGGCTGTCATCTAACCTTAGAAATAATAATATATGAAAATCTGTAGAAGTAAGCACTAAAATATGTTTTATATTAATAAAAGCACTCCGATTAAATGATTTTGTTTCTTTATGTGATCCTGAGTTTTGAGCCGTGAAACTTATGAGAAAAACTAACTGTAGCTACAACAAGAACTTAATGTCTGTAAATAAGCCCCTTTAAATTTGGTTTAAGTCCAAATTTATTCAAATATTCTTACTGAAGGATGACTTAATTGAATAAAAGATGATTTATATCACTTTTTAACTAAGTTTACAAGCATCAATCCGGCCTTTGTACATCCAAACCTATCTCCGAAATAGAGCCTGCCTACAGAAATTATTAAAAAGGTAGAAAAAACTACAGTATGAATTATAATATAGGATTTATTTTTGTTATTTTAAGTTTTTACCTATTTAACATTAAAGTACATACCACACATTGAATAATTTGAAGTAATTTTTATGAGAATAGATAATATACAGACTAATTTTTACTAACCATTTTGGTTACCCAAATTATTCTCCTAAAAACTATTCATCACACAAAATTTCAAACCACTGGTACACTTGATACTCTGACAAAATTAAATTACAATTTGATATTTTTATTAGTTTAATCAGTCAATTAATAATAATGGCATAAAACGAAACTACAACCTACTAAAGAATATTGTGTGCAATCAAATACTTAATTTACTGACTTAAAACTAAAGAAACTCTTTATATACAGATCAAATAGTATATTGGTTACATCGTAGCTTTTTGGAAAAAATCAAAGAACTGTGTCAGATAACTAACTAAATGTTTTGCGAATTATTAAAAATTATTGTAATTGAAATATACAAACCTAATTTCTGTATTTGGAAAAATCAGGATAATAGATAACAATTTATTAAATTTTAGAGTAATTATTAATTATAATTTTTTATTAATACTGAATGAGATCATATAACAGTTTCAATTAACAAGGGCAATTAATGTCACAATAAGGATGAATCCTTTTAAAATTGTAATTAGTTTTACGGTGGGCATTAATAATTATAACTAAATCTTACAATTATAACTAGGTGTGAATACAAGTATAAAAACCATCAGTTATCTTCATTTTCATATGCAAATTCAACAAACATTGACTTTACCTTCTTTTGTAAAATTGTGATGATAGCTGCCGCTTGTGATGAACTGATGTTTAGTTACAGTAGCAGTATAATTCCTAAATTCTTAGTGCCCAAAATCACAATCACAATGCAACCTAATGTTTACTTAAGTAAATCTAAAGGTTTGTACTGGAACCCTTATTAATTAATCATCATCTAACTCTATAACTATAGTTTCTACATTCTTAGTAGCCTTTGTAAACTCCTCCTTCAACTGTGTTAGTAATGTGCACTTTGGTATTTTTAATTCTTCTGCCTCATCTACCAAACATTTCAGTTTTTGCAACCTACCTATGTCTGGAGCTGTCGGCAAAAGGATGTTTTTTGTTTCAGTCATCCATTTATCAAAACTATTAACCCTGAAATCAATTGTTTGCAACATTATATGCAATTCATCCATGTCATATCTATAAAATAAGGTTTTTTTGTTGTATGCACATTTGCATAGTTCATCTGCATGTAATAAACAGGCCATTTGCTTACATTCTACACATGATACAGAGGACAAAAAGCATGTTGTTTTACACACTTCACATAACCTTTCATCATCACCTAGCAATTCAAATGCTGTTCTTTGTACATTTTTCAATCCTTTTTTAGCTACTAGTGTTCTTAGACGTCCCTCTTCTTCTGTGGCATTTACAAGTTCTTTTTGTGTTTCCAAAGCAGTTTCCAAATCTAAGCGATCACCCTCAAGAGCCATTTTACAAATAAGTTCATCATGAGAAAAGACACAAAACCTCTTCAAATTTTTATAGTGGCTTATACATTCTCTTCCAATTTTTAACCAGTCTGGAGGAGCAAAATTAACTGCCTCTGCAAAGTTATATCCCTGATTGAAACCAGCATGATAAGCTCTTGGAAAAGTGACAACAAATTCACTAGCATTTTGATCGATTCTGTATATTGGCACTCCAGCTGCCATTAGAATGTTAGGATTCATTATTGTAACAAGCTGATGAAGTAGATCTGGTTGAGTCTTGAATAAATCTGGGGCAGCAGCTTTCATAGCATTTTCCAATAGTTCTGCTCCTCTACCTGGAACTCCATACCAAGTTTTAGGTTCACCCCAATGCAAGTAATTAATAGAATAACTCCAGTGATCCTCATTATGCCAGCAGAATGCTGAAAAACACATACCAACATACATCCAAGGTACTGTCATACCAGATATATCAGCATTGATAAATCTTAGCACTGAACCATCTAATACTGGAAGATTGTTTAAATTCCAACCAGAATCTACATACTCCTGATCCCCAGGATAGAGATTTAAAGATGATCTGGTAGGAAATCCTGATCCATGATCCATGGAATGGAGATCAGCCCCATACTCCACTGTAACATCTTCTTCAACTGATGATATTATTCTCCAGAATTCTTTTTCTGCAACATTTGTAGGCACAAGATGGCCCGACATCCCAAAATAATCTGACTTAAATTTATCAGCCATTTCACCAAACTGCTGCAGAGTATATTCTCTTTCAGCTTGAGCAAAACCAAAAGCCTCTGCTGGTTTGTGAACTACGGCTGCAATGCAGCATGGACAACGCCAGTCACCATCAGGTACAGCATTTAATGGTGGTTTTAGACAAAATGTGTGGTATGTATCAGAACATCCATTACATATTAAAAGCAAGTCATCTCTATGATCCTTTTGGCAAATAGCACATGTATAATCTGCTAGTGGATCTAAATCATATCTAGGTCTCTTCCTAGACTTAGTTATATCAAACTCTTCATCATTGAGTCCTGGCATTTTTGGACCAGGTCCATAACATGCTAAACGCCTTAACTCCCTACTACGCTTAACAGTTTCAACATCTTTATTCTCACCAGTAGTAGTAGGCTTTATATCAGAACCTGTTTTGGTTTTCTTTATGCTAGTATGTGGTTTTTCTTCTTTTATATACTCACTTTTAACATTTGTTATAGATTCTATTGAAACTTCTTTTATTTGGTGTGTATTTGATTCTTTGTCATTGTTTAGCTCAGATTTGTGTTCAACTTTTTTGACAGTTTTCAGTATAGCAACCTTACTTTTTTCAAAAATTTCATATGGAAGTAATATTTTTTCATAATTATTCCTAAGAAAATTCATAGTGTTAGCATTTTGACTGTAACCCATGGAATTTGCAATCTTACGCCATTTTTTTGGAGAGTTGCAATTTTCAAATCCACCTTCTTCATCTACCCAAAACTTTAAACAATACAAGTCCAAAGTTTTATTTTCGATCATTGGTATTTTTAATGGCGAACCTTGTAATTCCCAAAATTTTAATATTTTTTCGAGAAAAAGAAGTTTCAAACGAGTAATCGCCTCTAATTCGTTAACTTTTTGTATTCGTGGAACAAATTTTAATTTATCAACATCCAAAGAAAAAGGTGGCTGCCATCCAGATGGAGGCTTAATTTTGCATATTCCCGTTTTCTCAGCTACAGGGCGTATTTTAGCAATATATGCCAGGGGATCTGCAAATTCTTCTAAGGTAGGTTCAAATACAGGAGCTTCTGGCGGAGGAGTGAAAGTAAACTCCGCACTTTTGTGCATCGCACTTTTCTGAATATTTTTGCTATCCATTTTAATAAGATTCTTTTTAATACCACGCTTGAAAATAACACCTATTCTTGTGTCAAGTTATAAACAAAAATATCGATTGTTGCTTCAGCATTTCACTGAACAAAACACAGTCTACGTGACTTCTGGCCATGTGTAAATGGCTTCGCTTTATATTAATTGTTTCATATTCACTCACTAAATGTAATAATGCACAGTATATCTTTGTGAATTTCTTGTTTTAATTTAAAGTTGAATAACCACTCAAGAGTCTTGGAGGTGCTGCTCATTTAAAATGTAAAACTACACTAATGGCCAAATTACAAAGAAAATTTTAATATAACTTATAATTGTGTCCAACTGTCACAAAATAATATTATTATATATTTTTTATCGCGATTATGTTACACTTCACAGCTTTAAAATATTTGTCTTTCTTGCTTAGAACAATAAAATACAAGAAAATAGAAAATGATAGAACGAAAATATTCATTTTCATATACTTAGTAAAGTGCTGAACGATAAATCGAAACTAATATTAATTGTCCGCCCTTATGTTAGACTTATGGACACAATATTATAGCGCCACAGAATTATCATGCCTTTATGCCAGTGAAACAGATTTTTAAAATTATTGTATTTTGTAAGTATGTATATATTATCTTTCATTTTGTTTAGAAATTATCATATTTCACTATATTGATTGTTTAATGGTAAGTTTAGAATGCATGAAATGAATTACATCTTGTATGTTAGGCTCATATAGCATATTTTCACAACGAATGATTTTTAAAGATGAAAGGTAATTGATTATTCGTAATATTTGTACCAAACTTAATAAATTAATTAAAGAACTGACAAAATCTTTTCTTATTTGAATTGAAGAATCATAGTAGGTATTTCTTTTTTTTAAATACAATAAATACACAGATTTTATGGCTCTAAATTTTATTATAATTTACCTATATAGTAATAATAGATAACAGTAATCTAGAAATTTAAACATAATAATTTAATAAAACGTTATTTTTCTTCAATTTTGTTTTATTATCCTTAAAAAGTTTCGGATCATCATGTGGGCATTTTTGTACTTTACCTCCTAGTAAAAAGGTAATAAGGTGGTAAGGAGGTGCCCAGTACCTTGCGCTAGCCTATACAGTTACTCGCCGGATATGATAGGTTGGTCCTAGTCCGTAATAATATTAATTTGTTTTGTTTCTTCATAATTTACTCTTCCGATTGCTTTTTGAATTTCATACAAGTTTATTATCATTAACCTAATGTATTTTCCATTCAGTCCTATATCATAGAGACTTTTCATAAGTATGTCGTGGTCTACCTTATTAAAAATCTTATTAAAGGCTTTCTCGTTGTATGTCTATATACTTCAGTACTAAGACATTTAGGAAAGCAGAGCGTCATCAGTTACTACGCCACACTCAAAGCTAACCTGACTGATAACCCAACTGTTCATCATTCTCAACCTTATCCTGTTTTGTATGACCGTCAGGAACAACTTTCATAACATAATAAACACGAACATTTCACGAACATAATAAAAAAAAACTTTTTATTCTTAGTAATAGTACTCTTCTATACCCTAGGTAGTGGTATTTACTATATAGTGGCTACATCAAAGATACACAGTATTTGTATTATTGAAACTATAATAAATTAGTACATAAAGTAATTACGATTGATTTATTTTTCATGATATAATCCTATCTTAAGAACCCGATGTAGAACAACATTCTTCTTACAAATAACTAATATACTTCATGTTATTTAATACTAAAGACATAAATAAAAATTAAACAGTATCAAGATCACTTATTCCAATATCCCCAGTATTGCCCACAATAAATTTTCATTTTCCTATTTGCCATGAGATTCCGGTAGAACTATACCACAGGGCACAGACAAAACACAACCCTTATTTTACGAAAAGTGATGGCATAGGCATTTCATAATTCATTACTAGATAAAAAAAATCTGTCATTTTACGTTTATTACTTTATTACTAATGTAGAAAACTATTAAAATATTAGTAAATTTGTTATATTCGTACTAAAAAATTATTTTTAATTTGTCAAATGTTAATAAATTGAATTAAAAATTGAAATGTTCGGATTAAACGGCATCTTCCGAACGAATACCTCACAATTTCGGCAACAAGTGAGGTTAGCTCATAAAATTAGAGGAAAGGCACCTATTTATTGTAGAACAATAAAAGAACGTATTGATGAGTTGAATTACAAAGATGAGCTTTATACAACAAGAATAGATATTGGATTCCCACCCGAAAGGTTTGTTTATTACCCAATAATCTTATTCAATCTATTGATAAACTAATATTTAAATCAAAATATTTCAGGAAAGAAAAAGTTCGTCAAGAACAATTCCAACATCTTAAGGCTATTAAAAACGATAAAAACCTTGAAAAACTAGCCAGAGATCAGAAACTTTTCATTGACTTAGATGAATCCAAAAAAGTATGGCTTGAAACAGTGGGACCTCTACACAAAAAACAAATTGCTGATCATTATGCTATTTTTGAACATTTGTATGGAGAGGGATACTTTATACCATTTTTAAATTTGGATATTTTCTATGATTTAAAGCAAGATTCATGCCTACCTGTTTATTCTGGAAATGTTATTAAGCCAGCTGAAGCCATTGAACCACCTATTGTCTCCTATCAATGTGCTCCAGATACTTTATGGACGCTTGTTCTAACTAGCTTAGATGGTCATTTAATAGAACAAAACAAAGAATATGTCCACTGGCTAATAGCTAACATACCAGGTAGAGATGTAGACAAAGGTGACATACTTATAGATTATTTACAACCTTTTCCTCTGAAAGGCACTGGGTATCATCGTTATGCATTTGTCTTGTACAAACAAAAGGAAAAATTATCATATGAAGTACCAAAAGGTTTGCAATATTACCATACATCTAATTATTTATATTGTATCATAAATTTAATAATTTGTTACATTTTTAGTGACTTCTGAATCCTCTCTAGAAGACAGAACATTTGTCACAAGAAATTGGTATAAAAAGTATCAAGATGTAATAACTCCTGCTGGCCTGGCATTCTTTCAAACATCCTGGGATTCAACTGTGCGAGATTTCTTTCATAAAAATTTAAATCAAAAGGAGCCAAGTAAGATATTTAGCTATGATAATATTGTTTTTTGTTAAATTTAATAGATTTGCAAATGCCTCTATAAGACAGAATTTTCTTTGTGTTCAATTAATTACTATGTTTAATTATCTACTAAAGCATCTAATTTAGATATATTTATTTGCAGTGTATGAATACGACTTTCCTGATCCATACATAAGACCTCAAGAATGGTTCCCATTAAGAAAACCTTTTAATTTATATATGGATAAATACAGGGATCCGAAACAGATTAAGAAGGAATATTTATTAAGAAAGCTTCAATCTGAGGATCCCTTCAAGAGCCCATCTCCTCCTCTGAAGTTCCCTAATGCGCAACCACTACCAAAGTCAATGCCGTCGTGGTTGAAACTTCACGAAAAGAAAATAAGATTAAAGTGGGGAAGAGTGAATGATGTGTAAAATGTACTAATAGTATAAATACTTGTTATGTACAATAAACATTAGATTAAAAGTGGTTCTTTTTTTCATCCTCAGTGAATTTTAGTTAATAAATTAAATTAATTATAAAAATGGATGGCTTATAAAGATAATTTCTTAGATTTAGACTTGAATGAAATTGCAAGAATTTTATTGCATGTCTACTAAAAATAATGTTACCATTTTACTGTTAATATAAAAAAAATAATACCATAAATTATTGAAAAATATTTATTATCAAACAAAAGATTTAAAAGCACAATCAGACTTTAGACATATCTAATAATATATAATTACTAATGAAGCATTTTCATTATGATGCTTTGAAAAAGATTAATTTTATGTATATTACAATACATATACTACATTAAGACGGACTTGAATAACATTTTAACTTTACCACTTAATAGTATTTGGGAGCTATTGCTACCATCAGCTTAGGATAAGTGAAAAAAATTTTAAAGCATTAAATATTTAAATGCAACTTCTTACAATACAGTTTTATAAAATTTTAATGACTGATGGCCGTCATTAGTGGCTTTATTTCATGTCTGAATTAGACACATAATATATTGGCAATGTAAATTTGGTAACACAGATATATTGATAGTTATATGCCCTGCAAAAATATTCTTTGTTCTTTTTAAGATGTAACTAGCAATAACCAATAGAGAATCATTGAATTTGCAAATAATAAAAAAAATCCTCCTTATGAAATTTATAAATTAACATATTGGGCATGAAAACACTTAGTACACGTTTTATGACGATAACCAGAATATATAACTAGATGCCAGATCTAACTTAATCATCAGATAAAAAAAATTATTAAAGATGTGTAATTTGAAAATGTTATATTGAATAAGGAATTAAATCTGTCTTGGTGGAGGTGTCAGTTTCAAGACTTAGTCCAGGCCTACGTCATCGTCGAAAGGTTTTGGTCCTTCGGGTCCTGCGCCTGGGTTTGCTCCACCTAAGTCTGAAATTGTAACATTGATTTCAGAATAAGTGTTAAACCTATAGTGACACTGAATAGACTGCATATTTTCTGGCGTTACAGAGTTGTTACTTTTTCTTTCTAAAAAATGCATTGTTCAGACAAGTCAAACCAAGCATACTTAATCCTTATAAAGGCAATTTCAATATTTTAGAGAGTTTAACACATAACTTTACCCGTCAAGTGACGTTACCTATGTATTGACAAACTCCATAGTTTACATTGTATTAACATTATACAATATTGCAGCTTTTGAATTAGCCTGGGCCTACCCTCCCTATATTAATTTCACCTTTTTTTTAAATCAAAATAGCTCAAGTAACTATGGTAAGAACGTAATTTATTTTCTGAAAATGGGCAAACAGGTTGATTTAATATTTAAAGTGCACATGTATGCATGTTGAAACCAATAATCGTAAAAATTGTGTTAAACGTATTTTAATCAAGCGTAATTACAAGTTTGGTTTAACACCAGTTCGATTCCTGCAAAAAAAAATGGTAATTCAAAGACTCCTTCCATACAAAGTTCAAGGGGTACTCACTAGGACCACATTGGTCACCAAATTTCTTCTGCAGCATTTCCAAAACAGATGCCACTCTTGGGTTGTTCTGATATTTGGCAAAGTTGGCTGGGTTTGAAGATACATCATAGAAAGCTTTGGTCACCTCTGGGTCCTGAAAAAATATTTGAACATAAGTTAAATTCACATACTATATTTAGATTTTTGGTTTAATCATTTTTAGTACGGGAGCTAGCAACATTTGAAAAGTAAGAATTTCAGGTCAGCTGATTTTGTGATATGTCATCCTCTTGCACTTTCGGTTAGAGTCTGGGCTATCTGGCTGTCTCTCTCGGACTACTAGCATCATACTGCAATACTTTTCATGACTTTTTCATTTTAATTCAAGGCTTAACAATCGAATTAATATCTGGCAAATTAATTTTAAGTTTTTCTTATATTTAAATAACATGGTATTAGAATTACAGACATTATAAAATACTTTGAAATTTTTATAAAAAAAATATATCGCGTATAGCACATAGTTAGCATTGTCAAAAATGTCTGGCAATAAAAAAAGTATGTCAGGTAGACTTACTTAAAAACAAAAAATTAAAAATTACGCTTTTTAAAATGTTTTTAAAATCCAGGATTATTACCTGGACAGGTAGGATGCGTACAAGAAGGACGACATATCACAAAATCAGCTGACCTGAAATTCTTGTTCGAAAACGTTGCTAGCTCCCGTACTATTTGTATTTAGTAAAATATTTACAAATACCTACTTTGTTATTTAAAAGAAATATATTTTAGTGTATTCTAATACACTTTAGTAAAAATAGTAAACAATATTTGCCTGAAATGTACATTTTTATCTGACCTTAATATGAAACAAGGAAAACAATTATATTTAAATTGTACCATTTTTTAATATGTAGTCTGCAAATAACAAACTATAAATATATCCCATAGTAACTAAACATATTTCAGATAAATTTACAATTTTTTTTTAAATTAATAAATAAAATACAATTAAAAAGTAACCGTGTGATGTCTATTTTTATTGAAGGAATTGTGTATTGTATAGGTATTATAAAATCTGATTGATATTTTAAATTAACTATTTATATACCAATATATTACTATACCAATATTGCTTTGAAATAAAGTATACCATACCTTTTTATAACTTGCTATAACTATTAAGGAAATTATATAAAAACATTCTCATTAAATTACCTGTAATGCAGCCATGATTTCTGGATCACTAAGAAGCTTCACAAGGTTCTCGCTATCGAACATCCCACCACCCGATCCCGGCATGCCGCCCATTCCTGGCATACCGCCCATTCCTGGCATGCCACCCATTCCTGGCATGCCGCCCATTCCTGGCATGCCACCCATTCCCGGCATGCCTGTAGCATTGGCATTCGCTTCTTGTTCACGAGCTGCTTTAGCGCGAGCCTCTTGCGCCTTGCGAGCACGACGGATTTTGTCCCGGCGCTGAAAAACGTATTTGCATCATATGTTATATTGATTATCATAAATTTATCAGGAATAAGGCAGTGTACTGAGGGCAGTCTTCTACTTTCGGTTTAACAGTTGCCATCCTTGCTGATATATGTCATAGCTATTTGCTCAAATTGCTAAAATTATTTTTGAAATTGTTCGAGTGTCGTGGGTTTACAAGTTAATTTACGTTTTTGCCGTTTATATTTTTATGTCTACACTACTTTTATGTTAAAAATTAAATATATGAGTGATGGCAAAAACGGATTGAGTGCCTCCCTAAAAAAAAATTTAAACTCCTTTCTGATGTAAACTTAGTAAAATCCTTATGAAAATATAAACACTATCTACTTATTCTATGTTCCAAATTCAAATATCATGAAAAAATTAAATTATGTAAGTACCTCCTTTTCTTCCTTCTTGCGCTGAACAGTAAGTTTGTGTTGACGAAGTTTCTCGGCATTTGGTTTCACTTCATTTAACCATTCATTTGTTTGGTCGTCATAATCGATCTTCAGAGATTCGCAGAGGTCATGAGAGGATTCCTCGAACTTACCTAAAAGCCTAATAAACAATCCGCATAAGATTTTTATTGTTCATGCATAAACCTTATAGTTGTAGGCTCTGGGATCCGACAGACGTTATCCTGTACTTCTTAAATAAAAAATCATCTAATTTTTAATCTGAACAATTCTCGAATGTAAATATAAACTACTTAAAGACATACAAAAAATTCATCAAAATTGGTCCAGCCGTATAGGAGTTTAATTACAAACACAGTCTCTATAAAGTTATGGGATGTCACTCCCAACTTGTAGGTGAATGTGGGTTTTTCCACAATACTATCATTAAAACTCACACAGAAATCTGTCATTTGCTACTAAGAAAATAACAGTACTTTGGCCTAAGTAAACTACATATGTACGTACAAATTGTTTGTTAAAAACATTGTGCTGATATTTGCCTTGAATTGTATATAATGGTTTAATAATAAAATATACAAAAGAAAAAGAATGAAATTATACAAGAAAGGATTTGTGGTCTGTAATTTTTGTTTTCACTTTCTGTAGTGTGTGCAGATAGACAATTGTCATGGGAATTAAGATTGCAGGAGTGCTTATTGCTATGATGACGATATTTTTACATCATTGTAGTTTAACAGTGGGCTTAGTCAAAATGCCATTACAGTGTTGTACACACATTAGAAAGTCGAAAATTAAATTTGTATTAAAATTTGTCGATTTCGTATCGACTGTTGATCTGTTGAGGCACCTTGACTAAGCCCCCAGTAATCACACCTTGCCACTTATATAAAAAAAACAATTTTTTTAGCAACAAATATACGTAGTTGGTCTCAAAGTTCTGTCACTGTCACATTATTTTTAAATTTCGAACATGATTTTATAAAAAAATATTGCATTCTATTTTTGAATGTTTGACTATTGTTTTAAAAGAAAAAACAATGACTTTCCGTAATTTTTCACGATGGAGTGGAAATTGAAAGAAAACCGAATAGCTGTTATTGTGTTGCACCGCTGTGGGCACTCGCCGAGTATAATTTTCAAGTTGCTCAAAAGTTTGAATATAACGCTTAGGTTTGTGTACCGTACTTTTGATAGGTACAATGAAGTCTCCAGTGTTGAGGACAAGAAAAGAACTGGCCGGCCACGCTCCGCAAGAACACCAGCAGTAATCAAGGCTATCAAGGCGCGGATAGCAAGAAATCCTGTCCGAAAGCAGAAGTTGATGGCTTTGCAGATGGGTGTCAATAGGAAAATAGTAAAAAAGGTTTTAAATGAAGATCTTGGTCTACGATCATACAAAAAAAAGAGTTGGCACTTAATGCTCGTCTAAAAGCAATAAAGCTTAAAAACCGACATCGTGATATCTTCTTTATGGACGAAAAATTTTTCGATTTTGAAGAGAAGTACAATAAACAGAATGATGGAGTGTACGCCAGGAGTTCTGAAGAAGCTGTAAATAAAGTTCCAAGGGTGCAAAATTGACATCATCCATCATCAGTAATGGTCTGATTGGGAGTGTCCTATTACGGGCCAACTGACGTTCATTTTTGCGAAAAGGGGGTCAAAAGTCAAAACCAGTGCAAGTGTACCAAGAGACGGTTTTGGATCGGCTTGTCAAAGACCTGCCCAACACGCTATTTGCGGGAGATCACTTCGTGTTCCAGCAGGACTCTGCGCCTTCACACACAGCCAAGCCCAACATTGACTTAATTAGACATGTGGATTGGCCTTCCTCCAGTCCGGACCTTAATCCTTTAAAATTTGGCAGGTCTTAAAGAGGAAGGTCTGTGCTATACCACATAAAAATTTGGAGAGTCTGACGTCTCTGAGAATATATTTAAATAAAGCAGTCACTGAAATCGACATGAATATGGTGTGTGCTGCGATAGACGACTGGCCGCGGCGCTTAAGGGCCAGTATTAAAAATAAGGGAGGTCATTTTGAATAATTTTATGCTATTTCTATTCCTTAATTAATGTACTATAAATTAATATATCACTCATTAATAACTGATAAGTAATTTTGTTTTTATCATTATTTCCATTTATGACAGAACTTTGGAACAGACTACGTAAGTTTGTATAACCGTCGGTCTCCAATCACTACAGTAAAAAAAACAATTTTAACTTAACTGGTGCCCCTAGCATTTATTATCAAGACCTACCTGTATGCACGTCCGCGGAACTTGTAAGCGGCAGCACTGTCACAGTTCAGTTTCAATGCATGAGTGCAATCCTTGATACAGGCATAGAGCTTGTTCAGTTTAAGAAACACCTGAAATTAAATGGGTGTTCTAAATTTAATAACAATTAACAAAATAAGGAAGGAATTATATTTAGTATACAGCATTTAATATAAGTTTTTTGAATGGGTTGCTTAACAGACTATTAAATTTAACTAATTTTACTGAAATATATAAATTAGACTTGCAACGAATATTCGGTTACTATTCGGTATTCCGCCTGTTCGGCTGCTTTTATTATATTCGGCCGAATACCGAATATCTAAATATTATTCAGCCGAATACCGAATACTTACTTACTTACTTGTCATAGAGAAATAATTGGTAAAATTAAAATCGATTGATTACGTATATATTCATATTTTCATTCCTGTTATAATTATTTAAGTAGTCATTGGTACATAACACAGGTAGATAATCATCTTCTAAATTGGAAAAATGGAGGATTCTATGTATTTGAATTATTGTGGTAATCAAAATTTAGAAGGGGAAGGTTATGGTGCAGATAGACTAACTTTTCTGCATTTTTACAAGTACAAGTTTTTGGCGCTAAAATCCAGCGGAATACTTTTGCCTAATATTCGGCTATTCGGTATACTGCCGAACATACTATTCGTTGCAAGTCTAATATAAATGTAAACTGGATGTTTAATTAGTTTGCATAAAAATATATTAATTATTATTTATTACTTGTCATGATTTTGGGTTTCAAATGTATTCAATACAACAAAATAATCACATTTTGTTACTGTAAGTTTGATAAGATAGCAACTTTTGTCACAACATAACAGTAAAATAAAAACAAATACCATATTTTTAGTATAATACATAGGCTGAGATTCAGAGACGTGATGTATGACACTTAACGGGGAAAGCCAAGTTGCGGCGTCATATCAGAAATCATATTCTGAAATATCGTTCTTGACAAACTTTGCTTTGTTTGGCTTCTATTTTTTGCAACGATAATAGAGGGTTTGTGAAGCCCGATAAAAATGTAATAAAGTATTGCAAAATCAAATTCAAACGTATTAATATCATCTGAAGGAACAATGAGAATTTTGTAGTTATTAGAGAAAACCTTTATTAGATAAGACAAAGAGAGATGTTCTAAACTTATATGTACCTAAATTAATTTAAAATTGTACAGATTTAGTACCATTTGGTGAAATCAGATTGGCAACTTAGTCTTGCTGAGATTTCATCAATTTCACTGCCTAGGTGCTAACATTTGACATAGAGTGTTAACATACAGGAATCATAGTTCACAATTAGTCTGACTCCCTTTCATCAAAAATGTATTGGATTTTGACATATTGTCATGATCGTAGAGCAATGTCGGATTTAAAAAAAAACCACAATCCACTTTTTATCATATTTGGATACTACATTGCCTAATATTACGGCTACATTAAAAAAAATTGTTTTGTTTTAAATTTTAAACAAATCAGTCGGTAAAGTGACGGATTTGATCGAAATGTGTAATTTTTCTAGAAAGCTGTGTAATTTAATGTTATTATTTTTATTTTGTTACGAAACAAACCCTTTTATTTGCTTGCATGCTAATTTATATTATTTATATTCATTATATCAGAATATGAATTGAAATAGTTATGACAAAATCTAACATGATTATATTATTTTGAAATGGCTGCCATGTCAAGTTTACTATTTGTCAGATCCATCACTTTTCTTCTACTATGACGATATGAGAGTACAGTTTATGCACAGTCATGACTGTGGATAAACTGTACTCTCTCTGAATCACTAAATCATAAGCTGTGTTTCAGTTTAGTACCAAACTTATTGTGAAAATTATATTTTGAATTACTAATTGAAATTTGAATACAAATTCATAATTATACTCATCGCTTACTTGTCCTCTCTTTGCAAAGAGTAATGCACTCGACGGATTAAGTTTTATTGCCTCAGTGTAAGCCTTTATGGCTTCTTCATAATTCTGTTCAGAGAAAGCTTTCATTGCCTCGGACCGCTTCTCATCAGACTGGTCTCTCTCTTCATCAGTTGGCTCTTTTGTTTCATCACCCATTTCTTGAGTAGCCTCAGATGGGTCACCTTCAATAACACCTAAAAGTATTTTTTGGACATTTATTATACATTGTTTACCTTATTCACTTTAATCATCTAGAGTACAACAGGGCAAGCATAATGATAGTTGTTATCTATACATAAAGAAATTCTATAGCCTAATTATTAGAAGCAACTAATTTAACCAAGTAAAATTTACCTTCCATATCAAGCTCCACATCAGACTCTGGCTCATCCTCAGATTCAGAAGATGGCTCCTTTGCACTATCTCCAACATTGCTTTGAGAGTTACTGAAAAGTTCATAACAAATAAATTTTATTGAAGTCTAAATTCTGGTTTCTTCAAGGAAAAACTTACACAACATATACAACGTAGGTATACAATAGCAAAATATATACAATCTCTGAAATGTTCTGAACAGTACAGAAAATATCAGTATACTAGAAATTAATTGGTCTAATTGGTATTACATAATTATAGTTAAAAAGCAACATACCCATCTCCTGCAGGCGCAAATGTTTTGGTACCAAATGTAGCCGTGGGTAATGATACACCTAAAGACACCAAATAATCTTTAAAGAAAGATAATTTTGGATGTTGGAGTATTAAGGGTTGATTTTTGCAAAGCTCAACAAATGTCTTTAATTGGGTCAATTGTTCTTCGTCGAAAGGGCAGCTCATGTTGAAGCAGCTTACGCGACGCCGGTACTATATATTTTTTTTTTGGGCTGGACCTACAAATAATGCAACGTAAGGATTGATAAAGCCATAGGAATGACAAGATTGCTTATTGATTAAATGAAGTTACGCACCTGCACGATAAATAAGCTGTTGTAAAAGTTAACAAGGGTTTCACTTTTCACTATTTGTTCAGTCAAATCGAAAATAGAAATCGAAGAAATAAAAATGTCGCTGTATTGCGTACTGTCATTTGTCTAATGCGATTCAGATTTCCGAATTCCGATTTCTAAATTATAAAGCCGGAGTCCAGACTCCAGCGACCGGCAAAGTTGCCAACTTCACAAAAAATATTTTCCCAGAAAGAGTAAAATACTACTATAATATAGTCAAACTATTTAAACAAACAATGGCCTAGTTTCCCTTTTTGTTTTATTTACTTAATCAACTTTATATCATAACAACTTGTCTGTCTGTTAAACAATTATGTAATTAAAACTTATTTATAATTTAACAGATGGCGAGTAAATCTTGTCTTTAGATATTATAATGAGTAAGATAATAATATTATATTATATTATTTGATTGGAGTCTCGCTGTTGGCATGAAGGGTCTTTACAGCTCAGCTCGGGCTGTTTTGGTGAGTATAGCTCTGCCAGTAAAGTTTATGAGTTTTTGAAGTTATACTTCTTTAGGCGCGTTATGAAAAATTGATGAAAATTAAATTTTACGATGCGCGCGCACCGCACACACAAAATTAACAGAATGAAGTTGCCCAAGGAAGATGCTATGGCATTGTACATAATTTAAAAACAACATTCGAATAATAATAGAATTTATGTTACACTTAATGTAAAAGAATAATAATAAATATTTATTTATTTAATTTTTCAAATGTAAACTGAACTTTATTGACTATAATGACTCCTTTTCCAGTCTTTGATTATTTAATTGTAATTTGCATGCAATCAAAATCTATTTTTGAAGTTATACTTCTTTAGGCGCGTTATGAAAAATTGATGAGAGCCGTAGACGGACTATGGTATAGACCAGGCATCAGCGTACAGCGTGTGAGATAGCGAATGATCGACATATGTCATATTTGCAGTTGTAATTCATTGAAGATTGCTTATTATTGACCAAAATACACATTCGAATGAATAATTCTTGAACAAAGTTACTGAGTCGTGACAAAATAAGCTACTTACCGATGAAATGTTATGTTTGTTTCTTTACGTTCACTATAGCCTTTACAGCCAATCATGCAACAATTCACCATGACTGATACTTTAAATACACCTCTTATAAGGATAAAATCTTAAAATATGGGTTTGACTTGGGTTTCACCGATTTATCAGTAAGCGGTGAAAACTTGTTTACCACCAAGGGCTCGGTGGTAAACAAATAAAACCCGATACGCAAATAGAGACAGAAAAACTGATACTCTGTTTCGCTCGCACTTAAGTATTTCACGTTAATGCCTTATCTCTTTAGTTATTATTGTTATTTAAGAAGCTCATCTAGTTCTATACTCTATCTACGATGAGAGAGAACTAGAACTAACTGTGACACAAAATTATCAGTGTGATTATAGCCGGGCGCCGAGCGTGCGCGAGCGAGATGGGAATAAGACAATCTACAAGAAAAAAGAAATAGAATATGCGTGAAGTTAGCAGCTATGCCAAGAATTTTGAATGACCATAATGACATTTACCTTTTAAACAAATAAAGGAGTTTTAATTATTTTTTCAAAGAAATTTAGCAATGCTTTTTCACAAAGACCTATTGTTACTTAGTTAAAAGGTTATGAAACATACCTAGTTATTTTCATTATACAAGTGCGAATTTTATATGTGCGTCTGAATTATAATCAGAAGTGATTAAAATTGAATATTTAAATCAATACTAATTAATATTAGAAAATATTTGTGAAAAAACTGTGCTCATCAACCTTCCTAAGTGCTTCAATACAATTGAGGTTAACTATCTGTATGTATTATTATTATTGAGTATTATTGTTGAGTAAAACTGAAACATGAACGGTTATTCAATGCTTTTGTTTATTGCGTTTGTTACAGCAACTTTTTAGAAATATTCTACGACCCTATTATATCAATAATTGAGAACAAAGATTTAAGCACGAATACTAATAGGGAGAAAATGAAGGCTTGGAGCGATATAACAGAGAAGTAAACATTTTAATAAGTACCTACCTGCATCTCAAAAAATGACCACATTGTTTAATCAAAACATGAAATTTTTCAGATTTAATCTAGCAAATATAAGGACAAGAGACAAAAAACAATTGATGAATCAGTGGAAGTGCACTAAATTGAATACAAAAAAAGAGTTGTCATCTTATCGCCGTATAACATCAAAAACTGGAGGTGGAACAAAGCCACCATCACCTTCTCCAGACACAATGGACGTGGCAGAGATGATACCGCAACAGTTTGAAGTCGATTTCAATGAATTTGATTGTGATGGTATCGAGGTAGGAATATTAATTATAAATATGATGTATGGTGATGTTCAAGGTTCAACCTCTCAAGCATAAGCATATGCTCACAACAGTACTTTATTCCCCTACAGGGTAGTCAGAGATATTCTAATACCTCAGAACTTCCATGTTGCACTTGTAGTACCGAAACTCTGCCCAGCCAGAAGTGAGCCCATTCCCACTTATAATGGACAGTGGGTATAATACACCTTAACACCTGAGTGCGAACCACTCAACATGATACTTAAATTAATAGATGTTATTTATATATTTCAGGATATTACAAATAAAATCATTTTGGAAACAATTGATATCCCAAAAGAAAATAAAGCCAATGATAACAAGGTAATAAATCAGTTTTGACATAACTTGAATACTAGAAAAGCCAGACAAAGGTGTGCACAACAGTGACAACATAACTTAACAATTTCATTATTTTGTAGGATTATAATCCTAAGGTTAAAGAAAATCACGTCGAACTGAACAACAAGAATCCCCAAACAACTCCAAAGAAACCTACAAGGAAGACACCGGTATTATATTTAAATTATCTCTATCTCTAAATAGAATAAAACAAAGTTGCTATCCAGGTCTGTAACATGTGCAATTAGTTTTTCTAAACTACACAACGGATTTTGATCTGACTAATATATAGACTGTTCTTCCAGGAAGGATTTGTATAATATGAATTAGACTTTTTTTAAAGTTTTGCATGGACAGAGCTTAAATTAATATTCTCTTATTTGTTGCAGAAAGCAAGTAGTAGTTTTAGTTTTGGAGAACCCTCGTATCAAGATATGCATAGCTTTCGGGCTCTGGAAAATGAGCGGCTTTAAATAGAACACGAACATAGAATTAAGAATATGGCAGAGATGCACAACCAAGTAATGATTAATTTAAAATTACAAACCGAAATTCTGATGAAGACATTAGAGTCACTTAAAAATAAATAGTATAATGAAATAAAAATGTTTTAAAGATAAATAGTGTTTTATTTGTTTAAATAACTTAATTGTTAAAACAACCTAAATTGAGAACTATCAAACTTTAAAGTTTTCATCAATAAAAATGGCTCTCACTGCTGCTCCATGCAGTGTATTTTGAGATGAAGGCACTGTTGGTAGTGAGGGCAGGGTCTCTTCATCATCATCAGATATAGGTTCCTCTTTTAAATCAATGGCTATATTGTGTAATACTGCCAAAGCTACAACATACATCTTAGTGTTTGGTAGAGATGTTCTAAATATATAATAATATATACTTTTAATAGAATTTATGTTACACTTAATGTAGGAGAATAATAATAAATATTTATTTATTTAATTTTTCAAATGATAACTGAACTTTATTGACTATAATGACTCCTTTTCCAGTCTTTGATTATTTAATTGTAATTAATTATTTGCATGCAATCAAAAACTATTTTTAATAATGCCAAAGAAGTATAACTTCTTACGCGAGTACATAAGTACACGCACCCTTTTTTATAATATAGCAAGACTCTCCCTGTTTATTTTTATTTTTACCTACTTAAATGCCATCCATTATTAAGCGATTTAAAAATAAATAACCCGTAGGAGGAGGTTATGTATTCGAAGTTTTTATAACCTAATTTTGAGTGAAAAACTTTTAAGTCGGCAACCCAGATAAATAAGAAAACATGATAAAGTATAATGCAGTAGGAAGTTATAGTCGAGTATTAATAGCTGTCAGCTGTCAGGCTGGCGTGTTGTAGATGTCACAAATTGAAATTATATATGCTCTGTGCCAAATAATGTAAGTAATTTTATAGGTTGGCGCGAAATTTTTAAAATGTTGTAACTAAACAGTGCAGAAAAGAAAATGATTATTATTAAAACTGTTCTGAATTTCTGTCTGTCTATATACATCTTAAATTTATATCAGTGCCATAAACATGAATCATGACGTTACTTTAATTACTCTGACATAATGAAGCATACCCAATGGAAAGGACCACCAGGCAAGGGGCGGAAAGGGAGACCCTTAGACCGCTGGGAAGATGATCTGAAAAGATCAGCTGGCAAAAACTGGCACTCCATAGCACAGGACCGACAACAATGGGCATCTTTGGAGGAGGCCTTTACCCAAACCGGGGTTCCTGTTAAATAAATTATAAATTATATATTACTAACATAATCTAAGCTAACCTACTAACAAAATCAATATTTTTGGTTACTTTAATATAAAAACTACCAACTATTGTAAAACAGGAAATAAAAAGGCTTATTATTATTATTATTTATTATTAATGAATCATCAGATGCTTCATTAAGTGGTAAGTATTATTCACACTTATAATAGTATTTTGCTTTTCTGATGAAATCTTAATTACAAGGCATATAATTGGAATTTTTGATCCGTCATGTGTGCAAAATAGCATAATTCAAATAATTAAAACGCCCTCTTGGCTCTGTATGATATGTCACTTCTATTAATTTTTTTTAATAATATTAACCCTAAATGAACACACACAATTCACAACGTTTTCGCTATTGAACATCCCATCACCCGATCCTGGCATGCCGCCCATTCCTAGCATGCCGTCCATTCTTAGCATGCCGTCCATTCTTAGCATGCCGCCCCTTCCTGGCATGCCACCCATTCCCGGCATGCCTGTAGCGTTGGCATTCGCTTCTTGTTCACGAGCTGCAATAGTGCGAGCCTCGCGAGCACGACGGATTTGGTCCCGGCGCTGAAAAACGTATTTGCATCATATGTTATATTGATTATGATAAATTTATCAGGATTAAGGCAGTGTACTGAGGGCAGTCTTCTACTTTCGGTTTAACAGTTGCCATCCTTGCTGATATATGTCATAGCTATTTGCTCAAATTGCTAAAATTATTTTTTAAACTCTTGAATGTCGTGGGTTTACAAGTTAAATTAGGTTTTTGCCGTTTATATTTTTATGTCTACACTACTTTTATGTTAAAAATTAAATATATGAGTGATGGCAAAAACGGATTGAGTGCTTCCCTAAAAAAAAAATGAAACTCCTTCTTGATGCAAACTTAGTAAAATTGAACTTTGATCCTAATGAAAATATAAACACTATCTACTTATTCTATGTTCCAAATTCAAATATCACGACAAAATTAAATTATGTAAGTACCTCCTTTTCTTCCTTCTTGCGCTGAACAGTAAGCTTGTGTTGACGAGGTTTCTCGGCATTTGGTTTCACTTCATTTAACCATTTATTTGTTTGGTCGTCATAATCGATCTTCAGAGATTCTAGTACGAGATCCCGCTGCAGGATTGGTGTGCTCATCGACTATTTGTTTAAAACCAAATTTGTATGTTTATTTATAATTAAGAGAATATATATTTACTAGGGTGCCTATCAAAATTTGGCCGCCATTATTTTTAATTGATTTTTGGTAAAAAATTTCGTTCATTTATTTTTTAAATAAAATAACGTCTACATCACGGTAATTAATATGAAGATTCTAAAAAATCACGGGTGCCGTTGCGCACCTGGCCGCACCTCTTTGCAGCCAGGTGTAAACAGGTATGATTTCGATAAATTTATACGTTTATAACCTATTTTTATTAATTATATGTCAAATTGAAGCTATAACATATATATATAATTGAATATATGACCTAACCTAACCAAACCTAACACACCGTAACCATTTTCTTTTGTATCGTCCTAAAGGTCATCCACAACTATGGTCGTCTACCAAGCATAGAACTCGTAGACGGCTCAGGTTCTGAATCACGTCCACATCTACTATTTCTAGACGCCATTATAAGAAATCAGTGTCTAGTATGTATGCCAAAGTCGTACAGAAAAGCAATTCAATCAAAGTCCAAAATGTAGCCAAGTTCCAAAAAAATGCAAATAAAATAACGCACATTCACGTAAAAATAAAAAAAACGTAAAAAGTAACGGATTATTTACGGATATTCTGCACTGTAACACTGTTCTGGCATAATCGGTTTGAAAATCGATTTTTGAACGGTATTTTAATATTTAAAATAATTAAAAATCAATCATAGTTGATTTTCAATTATCGATGTTTACAATGCGATACATAGAATAGATCCGATGCTTTGAAGAGGTATTGAGGTAACAGTTATTTAAAAAAAAATGTTAATATACTAACCTAAACTAACCGAACAATAATAATAATAGATTTTTTGGACAGCGGGAAATGCAGCCCCTACACCCTTGCGTACCAAAGCACAGGCATTCCTCCGCGCCTCCGATCGTTTATATACACTCTAGGGGTAGGGCAGACAAGACCACGTGGATAGTGGGGTACTCTGATTCGGTTTGGATATTAAATAAGTGATTGACGTTTGACATCAATTATTTGTGAAATTTATTTTGTAATGGCCTAACTTAACCCAGATTCCAAATAAAATAAATGCAGAAGCACGAAATTAACGGATTTAATTTCTGACTGACAAAAGCTACATTCGAAATGGCGGTTTGCGTTTACATATTTAATAGGGATTTCACCTATAATCTATCAACACGAAATTAGGTATATTTGAATATTGATTATTCTATAACTTTAAAATTAAAAAATCTACTATTTTTTATTCATCGATTTCTCATGTAAAAACCAATCGATTAATTTACCGAGAATGTCACATCTCTTATAACCAATAGAAAAGTAGAAAATGTCGGTTTACAAATTTCAATACATTACACAAAACTTTAATTAAAAAAAAGTACTTAGTTTAGTTAGCATTTCCGGCAACCTGCCGAGACTCCTGCATAATCAGTATCATCAAATTCGGGCGACTGATTTCTAAATCCAATCCCAGAATATATAAGTATACTAGAAATTAAATGGTCTAATTGGTATTATATAATTATAGTTAAAAAGCAACATAAGGTCTCTCACAAGTCTCACTTTTCAATATTTGTTCAGTCAAATCGAAAATAGAAATAGAAGAAATAAAATATGTCGCTGTATTGCGTACTGTCATTTCTAAATGATTATTTTTTAAGTATTGAAGTAACACAAAAAACACTAAAGACAATATGCAGATCAAAAGAGGATATAATTATTTATATCCTTTTTGATCACTTAGAGCTCGAGACTGATGAGAAAAACCATGGATTTATATCGTTAGATAGGCCCCGACACCAAAAACTGTGGCATTGTTTTTGAATGTGTGCGTTAACAAAATGCCGACACACGCACACTAATGAGTAGTTTAAAAATCGTGTTTCTGCCCTTGTAATAGGTTGAAATCGAAAACGTTTGAATGTGTGCGTCAACATGGCGTCCAAAAACAGTGCAATTTGTGTAGAAGGTACGGTCCGCAAACACATTAATCTTTTTTATTATATATTTTATTTATTATATATATTTTTATTACATAGTAGGTAGACTGTATATTTAAATGTAGAGGCGTGATCAAGTAAAAAACACTATAATTTACTAATAATGGCTATTTATTCTCCTTGAAACAAAATCAATTTATTATACTTTTGCCTTTTTGTTATTTTATTAACATTTTTATGAAGATAATGAAGGCGTACACCAGCGTAGTATTTGATAACAGATTTTATCAATAGAACTTTATGGTTCCAAGTTGCCGGTTGCTCCAGAGAATGGTCATTTAAATTATTAAAAACATTCGATTCAATAAACAATTTCAATATTTTAGTTTGAAAAACTTTATACTCATTTTCATTACGTATATAATGATTGCCATTTAGTTTTTTGTGAAGTTTCAAAAGTGATTCAGTTTTGATACATATATCATATACATCCTGTGTGGGAAAAAGCAAACCACCTAAGTTTCTCAAATTAATTAATCTGTGAAAGGTTAATCGTCGATCAGATATTAACGCACTGCAACATGTATGACATTTAATTTTTTTCACAATTTTTTTAACAACCCACCCTGAAATGTATCCGACAATTTGCTTTGACAAATCGCTTATAACATTTTCTTCATCTAAAACTCTTGAGAGAATGTCACTATTTATTTCACATTGTTCATCTTCAGCAGATTGTGACGCCTTCGTCGTTGGGTCAGATTCAGTATTGCACAATCCTGACGTGGTCATATTTATTTTTTCAAAGGGCTGATGAACAACCCAAAATTGAAAAGTTATCAATTGGCAAACAATTCCCCCGTGAAACTGCTCCGTAGTTCTAGATGGCAGAGTGCTTTTTTATATATGCCACGGAATTGTTCGGTGGTAGGGTTATTATTGCGCCCGCCATGTTGCCTTATTAGTCCGAAAAAAAGTTCTAAGTGGTCTTGACTGAACCTGTATGTTGACATGTAATTCATCACTTTATTCTGTTGAACCAATTCTCGGTACAAGTATTTCAAACTCTGAATGTCTATTAAAAACCCAAGAAATCCCATTTTGCATTTTGCTTGCAAGACTAACTTTTTACTAATAATTATTTTTATCCTTCTTCCTCTTGTTCTTTTGACTTGGTTGTAAATTTTAAGTGACTTTATATAATTTTCTGCCTTGTCAAGAAAATTTAATGTTTTGAATTCATTTTTTTCACCAAGCGATCTTTTAAATCCTTGTTTATAGGTTGTTGAGTTAAAGACATCAAACAAATCGTTGAAAGTTTCAAGAAATTTTACAGTTGGTTCTACATTGCTGAACTTATGTCCAGTAACCATCTCTGAGCATAAGGTCAGTGCTTTCGCTACGCTTCTACTTAGTAATTGGCTTGCTAGGTTGACTTTTTTTGAAGCCTTCTGTTTCTTGAAGTTTGGGGGGGGGGGGGGGGGGGGGGGGGGCCCCCCCCCCCCGGGGGGGGGGGGGCCGGGGGGGGGGGCCCCCCGCGGGGGGGGGGGGGGGGGGGGGGGGGGGCGGGGGCCCCCCCCCCCCCCGGGGGGGGGGGGGGGGGGGGGGGGGGGGGGGGGGGGGGGGGGGGAAGGGGGGGGGGGCCCCGGCGGGGGGGGGGGGGGGGGGGGAAAGGGAGGGGGGGGGGCCGGGGGGGGGGGGGGGGCGGCCCCCCCCCCCCCCCCCCCCCCCCCCCCCCCCGCCCCGGGGGGGGCCCCCGGGGCCCCCCCCCCCCCCCCCCCCCCCCCCCCCCGGCCCCCCCCCCCCCCCCCCACAAGGCCCTGTAATTTAACCAAGTACAACCACGCAACGCGTCCAGCTTCACTAAACAAAAGTTTTTTTGAGTCGAATGTATTCCTCACTAACTTGAGCATATGGCATGCATCAAAAAAACAGCAACTCATTTGGTATTGCACGAGGGATGAGGGAAAGTGGTTTGTAAGCTGTTGATGTTCTCAAAATTGCAACCTAGAATTTCGGCTGTTGCTACATTGGCTGCACAACCGTCAAACGTCAATGCAATGACATCGACACCAACGTCGTAACATTTAGTAATACACATTTGTATTAAGCTTGCACGTTGTTCAGCACGTAGGCCGTTTATGAAAAAGTAACCTAATGGAATTTTCCAGTTTTCAGTGCTTGAAACTAGCATGAAAACGTAAGCCTGGGCCCCCCCCCCCTCATCTACAAGTCCCATCGTCTTCCGACCATTCCAGGTTGTCCTTTGACGTATTGCCATTTCGTCAACGACCAATGTCGCTGTAACTGTTTTCGTTTTAGATTTTTGATGAAGTTTTTCAAATGCCTGTTGAGTGAATCCAGGAGAGACATCACTTTTCTCGTACCACTTGGAAATAGTACGCGGATGCGGCAACGTACTGTTGAATTTGCCTCTAACGTACTTGTAGGCAGCCGGAGAATAGTAATGCAACGTTGCGTAAAATTTTCTTAGAGTTGGCGGAATTCTTTTCCTTTTTTTGGCGATTGCAAATAAAAAGTCATTGTTTGCCTCCGCAGCTTTCCCTTCTAATTCATTTAAATCTTCTTTGTTAATATTTTTTTTTATATTCAGGGACTTAACTAACTCTCGCAGGGAATTATTTTTGGTTTTAAAATACTTGTTTCTTTTTTCAGGTTCATATTCTCTCTTCTGCATTTTTCTCTTTTGCTTTTTATAATGTGTAATTGTTTCTTTAGGCGAATTTTTCTCGGTGTATCGAAAACGGAATCTGTATCCGACACATTTATATCGCATAGGGGTGAACTAGGTCTATTTTGATCAGCAGGTAAACATATTGATGATTCCGTTATTGGCCGAAAAGCTGGTATGGCATCAGGTTTTAATTTACGAAGACCCAGTGGCGTCACATACAAATGATTTGCCTCGAAATGTGCTGAGCAAACTTTGCTGAATTTTGTAGGTAGCCACTCTTCATCTCTTTTGTCCACTTGTATAATTTTTATCCATTTTTCCTTACACCGTGGGTCTTGGGGAAATCTAAAAAAAAACTTCATTTTATGTACCCATTTTTACTTATAGCTTTATGAGTAATACCATAATAAAGTATTTTATCAGTAAGTTAAACGCACTCTATCTCAAAAACTGTTGAGCGCATAAAAAAATGCAAAATTTATTTGAAACAATTTTATAACAAATGTAAACATGTTTCGTGGCACCCTGTATTTAATACGCCTACCTACTAAAATATTAAGAAGACAACAACATGGCTGTTGAATCTGCTGACGCTACCGAACTGTCTAAAACGTGTGCAACAAGTGTACTGAGAAAATAGTGTCATCTCTTTTTCTCCTACATTAGTTGCAAACACTACTTTCTCTTTCGTGCACTCGCCATTTAAATTTGTTATTTTAGACAGTGCGGAAGGAAAAATAAAAGTTTTTAAATCAAATCGCAATACGTACGAGTGAAATGTTACACCTCTGGCTTTATTTGTGTTTTTAGAATTGTTGTTGCACTTTAGAAAGGCACACGATGGCATTTTGTGACACTAAACTGCTCGCAAACGTCCTTTACAACACCTTGCCAGTTTATTCTGTGGTCTTTCCTCTTTTCTTTTGGCTCTTGCATTTGATTGTGATTGGACTTTGGGCAACTTTGGGTGATATTGTTGCAGAAACAAACTCTACATACCTCTGGACGAGCGTCGATTTCTTTCCAACAAGTCTTGCATTGCGTTTTCGGAGCTCGTTTTTCAGGTCTGTCACAGACTAAGAACCGTAATCTTTTCTCACGGATGATGGTAAACTCATCATGAGATCGAAGTTCAATAAAAAAAGGTAAACCCTTGCGATCAAGCGCCATCTCATCGTAGCTTTTAGAACTATCTTTTTTTTAAATAGCTGTCAGAAAAATCCCTCATTGACATATACTTACAACCAATCCGAATTATTATTTTTAAATAGCGGAACTACACAGACTAACTGACTACACACGTAAGCGTTACTTCTGTCAGAAAAAAAAACTGAGTTACTCCCTAGTCGCGCCTAAAGAAGTTTTACTTCATAATACAATACTTGCCGGAAAAATCGTACGTTTTCTGTACGATCTTGGTCTAGCGATCGTACATAAGCAAAAATGACAAAAAATCGTAGGAGTACGATTTAAATCGTACATCTGGCAGAGAAAGAGTAAAATACTACTATAATATAGTCAAACTATTTAAACAAACAATGGCCTAGTTTCCCTTTTTGTTTTATATACTTAATCAACTTTGAATCATAACAACTTGTCTGTCTGTTAAACAATTATGTAATTAAAACTTATTTATAATTTAACAGATGCCGAGTAAATCTTGCCTTTAGATATTATAATGAGTAAGATAACAATATTATATATTATTTCATTAGAGTCTCGCTGTTGGCATGAAGGGCCTTTACAGCTCAGCTCGGGCTGATTTGGTGAGTATAGCTCTGCCAGAAATGACAATATAAAATTGTCATGCATTTTAAATACAATATAATATATTTTGTAAAGTTTACTAGTTTTTTAATAATGTCATGTTGCATACACGCAATCACTTTAATCCAGTACCTAGTACTTAACCAAAGTGAACCTTAAATATATACCTATATTATTTTTAAAATATGTCATATAAAAATATAAGACAGAAAAGTTTCGTTTTCATCAACCTTATACTGAAATTATTAGAACAATTGTTATTGGTACGCCGGAAATTGTAATCGAGAAACATTTTTCAGAAAAGATGGCTTATTAAAAAAATTATAGAATTATATAGAGTAGTTACAAATATAAGGTGAATAAACTATTATTTATAGATTAACTATATATTAAGATCGGTAAAATACCCACATGTAATATTTAAAGCCACACATGACGGATCAAAAATTCCAATTATATGACTTAGTAATTAAGATTTCATCAGAAAAGCAAAATACTATCATAAGTGTGAATAATACGCTGCTCAGAGTAATTAAAGTAACGTAATGATTCATGTTTACGGCACTGATATAAATTTAAGATGTATATAGACAGACAGAAATTTAGAATAGTTTTAATAATAATCATTTTCTTTTCTGCACTGTTTAGTTACCACATTTTAAAAATTACGTGCCAAGTGCCAACCTATAAAATTCCTTACATTATTTGGCACAGAGCATATATAATTACCTACCGCGGTGCGTTTGCTTAGTGCGGGAGGGTTATGTGGGGCTCGCGATTGTGTATACCCACTAAAAAACCCCAAGGCGCCACCAACAATCGCCTTAGGCGGGATGCGGTAACAGCAGAGCCCTATCCGCTTCCCGACATGCGATGCGGCGGTTGCGTCCGCCTCTCCCCGCCCTCAGATCGGGACATACGCTTTTAGGAATAGCTAGGGGAGATCAGGTCCAGTGCTTCCAGGGTTGGATCACCATCCCTTCTTTTGAACGCATGGACCCCTGCTTCCCCGCTTGGGCACTCTTTAGGTGGCGAAGATTTGACGGGCCTGCGGTTTCTTTTGCCGCCGGCAATTTTCCGGGCCAACCTCCCTGGTCCTTTCCGCTTTTTCTTTGACTTTCATGACCGACTCGCAGAAATTGTAGATGATTTTCCACGAGTCGTCATTTCCTGCGCTCAATAACTTCCTACTGCATTATACTATAACATGTTTTCTTTATCTGGGTTGCCGACTTAAAAGTTTTTCATTTAAAATTAGGTTATAGAAACTTCGAATACATAACCTCCTCCTACGGGTTATTTTTAAATCGCTTAATAAACAGAATGGCATTTAAGTAGGTGAAAATAAAAATAAACAGGAGAGTCTTGCTATATTGTGTTCAACGCTTATTAGATATTGTAATTAAAAAATAGCATAATTTAGATGCTATAATATAGCGCTCTGTATGATATGTCATTTTTATTAATAATAAGAACCATAATTAAATAATTTCCCTTTTTTATTAGGATTTAAAAAATTCTTAACGTAAAAGCGTCATATAAGTATATAACGTTCATAGCTCTTTAATATTATGTTTTGAATATTTTTGTTTTAGTAAACACAGCACTAGTTAAAATTACGTATTAAAACGGTGGTATTATCTATTATATACGATCTTCCAGGCATCCCGAAGACTCTTTATAAATTGGTGTATATAGTATGTGCCCCGCGCGGTTTGATTTGCGTTAATTCGTTCGTAGCCTAATCTTAATATATATAAATTACGTGTCACGTTGTTTGTCCGCGATGGACTGCTAAACTACCGAACCGATATCAATCAAATTTGCACACCGTGTGTAGTTTGATCCAACTTAAAAGATAGGATAGCTTACATCTCAATTTATACCCGCAATATTATTTTATTGCAAAATATATGTTTATTATTTGATAGTCACAATTCTAACAGATGGCGCGGTGTTGAAAGTACCAACGTTTCACATAAGCTACAATTTTATGGCATAACCACCAAAAAAGCATGGTGGTCCCCATGGCTGGTGTTCTCCTACCGTTTCCCTTGAATAGTTTGCTACTATGTAATATAACAAAAACCTTAGCCACAGCAACGCTTGACCGGTCTGCTAGTAATATTATATAACCTAAAGGGTTTTCTAAAGGAAATGAGGCTAACAAACACAAAACCTCTCTTTTTATCACACTGTTAACATAATTTCATAGAAAGAGACAAAAGAGTGTTTACAATATTGGTAAAGATTACTGTATGTGTACGTAACCATTTAAGACACTACTAAAATGTATTCCGGTCCAATGAAAGAGACCTACCCCCGCAGCTGCCCCTTCTTAAAAAATATAAAAAACCTTTTCATTAATAATTAACTTGTCAAATTTATCGCTTAATATAATAACTTAGTTACTATGCTTTGTTTATTGTACATTCAATACCAAATTGAATTTGATGATCTGTATCTACTTCTATTGGCGTACAGAGTATTACTAATACATGTTAACTATTTAGTAATGAGAATAACAAATAATTAATGATCATTATGATAATGTATAAAAGACATTTACCTTGACCACGGTCACTAATTTAGTGCACGCGTCGAGTTTGTACCGGTCGTGTTTGAGTGTTGCATTATGATTTGCATAAAGTTATTACTCTTTTGTTTTTTAAGTGTGTGTGACTTTGGTGAGTGTTTATATTTGCAAAAAAAATATGTATGTCTAAATATGAAACGTTATTGATAATTTTAGTAAATTTAATTAAAAGTCCCGGTCATTTAAGTCATTCTTTTGAGCGATTAACGGTTAAAGTTACGTTCAAATTTTTTATGATTTAACAAAACTTTGACAGTTGTGACTTGTGAATAACATACGTGTTATAACGATAAAAATATTTTGATTGATTTAATCGTAAATAGGCAATTAACGTAAATATTAATTTTATTGTCATAATTAAAAACATATTGAATTGCCTCTATCTAAATTTTAATTATTTGCTTATTAATTGGTATTGAAAAATCATATTAAAATGATTTACTGAGATATCTACGGATCCGATTTTAATGGCAACACTAATCATTTCTCAGTTTTAATTGTTATTGTTAGGAAATATGTATATAGATTTAGACTTTAGTAAGCATTTGAAAGAAAATTTGTTTCCAGTAAATTTGTGTTTGTTTTAGATTTTTTCTTAACGTATATATGCACGAATATAGAAAATATGGTTTAGTTACCAGCCGGGAGTTATTAAGAGTCTTCGCTATTATTAGTAATAAATACTCAGACAGTAATATATACAAAGGTCATCAAAATACCTCCAGTGGTCTTACGTAAACCGCTTTAAATAATATACATAAAAAATCCTGATGGCTTTTTAAATATAAGAACCTAAAACTAAAACATTTTAACTATTTCAATTAAGCTTTTTTTCCATCGTAATTATATATTATAAAGTCTAATTGCACCGTTTTAAATAAAGTCAGCTGTATCTTTTTATCACAGCGTAACCACAATTTGACAGAAAGAGACAAAAGACCTACCTACGTTTTTATTAATTAAAAATTAGAGTTTTTTTAAGATCTATGTAACATTGAATTGTATTAAAATAAGGATTGCGATTGAGGAAAGCGCTCACGAACGATTAACTTTCGGGATTGGTGCCGAGTTTGCAGGGCATATTTAAAATATTTTGGAAATAAATGTACCATTCATAGATAGCATTCTCGTGAAAGATACAAATACATAATATCAGTAAAAAACAAAAAAAATAATGATTTTTTTTTTCAGGTCGCATAGAAGGTCAGTTATTGACAAAGGAGAGCGGCTTTGATTTAAATAGTTTGTTTGGAAATCTTTTTCCTAATTTTGGTTTTCGGAGAAATCCCCAAGCCAATTACCCCGGTACTTCGCAATACCCAATTAATGGGGGGCAGGTGATTATTATCAATTAGTTTAATTACGTATTAATAGTTTATGCATACTAGATTTTATAATGGCTTTGCTTGCTTTATTAAGTAGATATCATGCAAGGGCGGGTCTCGTTATGGGGATTTGTTGAAGTCAGTGCTTTATCTAAAACCATACGTACCATACAATCAAATACAATATAAAAAAAACCTATCATTGAGAAAACGGTTTGGTATGTGTTTTTTGTCGTGTAAAGCTCAAGGGATGGGGGAATGACCCCCATAGCCTCTTGACCCCTTAGATCCCTAATGACACCTCGATGCCAGATGTTAAAGCAACTTGAATTCCATTGTTCGATGTATGGGAGCGAGAATTCGTTTTCGAAAAATCAATCAAGAATGACGATCACGCGCATATATTAATTTACTAAACGTTTATAATTTATATATTAATTACTCCGATTATTTAAAGAAAACACTTTTTTACCGGATTGAAGTTATGTATTATTATAAACTTATAATTATTTTACATAATTAATTTTTTTTTTTCCGATTTCAATGCGGTAAAAGTGTTTTTTTTATTTGTAAAAGTTATGTTAATAAAAGACAAAACTAATCCGATTATTTTAGTCATCTGTCATAATCTAAACTAAATCAGATTGCCTACAGCTATGTAGATTTCTGACTGATATATTATATACTAGGTAAAAAGTTACAATCTTAATTGTCTTAGATATCTTTATGAGACGGCTAACATGGCTATATAAAGGCGAGGCAAATAAGTCATATTTATAATAAAACATCTGTCCGATATCTCATTTCAATGCAAAGCCTTAAGCTCCTCCTTTGTGCTCAAATGCTCCAACAAACAAACAATCGAAAAATAATCATTTGTTCTGCAGCTCCATTCGTTTTCTAAGTACAAATTGATTGCACCCATTCTATCAGATTCCATGCGCGTTCTGAATAAAATAAAAAAATAGTTTTTTTGTTCAGCCAGATAGTCATAAGTTTATTGTTAGTTACAATATTGTCTATTATTCGTTAAGGTTAGATTAAAAAAAAATTAAGAACAGTTTTTATCTTCGTGAATTGTATACTGTTATATTATTTATATAAACTAATTTCATACTAGGCTGGACTAAAAATCTTTTATCCTATCTTAATTGAATTTCGGTATCTCTAGTTTTCTTTGAATGTCTTACAGTTGAACAATCCCCAAGGAAATATTTGGAATAATGGAAATGGCAATCCCGGGATGAATTATCCGGCTAATTCACAATATTACCCAGGCACCGCGATTCAGGTAATATACATTTTATTCAGTTGGCTGAAGTTCCATAAAACCTCGTTGCTTTATCTATATTAAGCATAGACAATAGGTAAATATTTCAATATTAAATCATCATAAAACCTCATTGTTGATTTATCTATGTTAAGCATAGACAATAGCTAAATATTTCACTATTATTTTATCATAGAGTAAAGAAAATATTTTAATACTATTTCGTCATAGAGTAAATACAGGCATAATATAGCCTGTATGTTGTTGGTTTTCCTTTTGGCTCTAGTCGCTTGTGAAATTGACTGACCTATTTTCCCAGATTTTGTCCATATTTGCAGTAAAAGAAATGAAATAAGATTTTTTTTTGTAATTGCAAAGCTTAAATGTACTGCAATACTATAGTGTAATGTAGTTCTTTCTAGTAATATCGATAAAAATTTCATTATTAATTTAACAAAACTAGTAAGGTTAAGTAAAAATGTGCGTAATTAACTATACTATTTTCGTTAATTTCGAGTATTAATAATAATTATATTAATTATGATTACCACTATTTAGGTGATATCTCTTTAGAGTTGTTTTTTAAAGAGCCATAGTATAAGTTCATTAATAATCTATATATTTCTCGCTGACCCGGCAATAAAAATAACTATCTACTATAATAAAAAATAGGGGTTGATCGTAGAGGGGTGACAATTAAGGGTTGTATTAATTTTTGTATGCTGTATCATAAAAAATAAAAACAAAAAGTTTTGTCCATAAAATAAAAATTTAGGGGTGGAACCACTGGAAACTTCAACTTTAAAAATAAATTTTAAGAGTCATTATACATACGTACATGTTAATTGTTAGAGCGTGAATAACACACCTTATAAACTACAAAAAAATATATATTCAATACTTTGATTATATAATAGTCTATATAAAACAAAGATTTGATACAAATTTCATATGTATACTAATTTCAAAGTTAATTTGCATTTTTCCTTCCTGGTCCGTTGCTAGGCAACCATACATCTTTTGTTTTTCTATAAGATTGACGAAGTTGAGGGTATACATCGGTATAATTATTGATTTGTTACCATTAACAATATAAATTCAATTATAATCAACATAATACACAATAATAAAAAAAGTTTCTTAAGTATTCAGGTATAATAGAGTGAACTTATTTTAGGGTCAGCAGAGGCATACCGGAAATGAGAATGCCTGGAATAACCCCGGGTCGTCTGCGAACCAAGTGCAAGTATGTATATATTACCTATTAAGTTTATTTATTAAGTATATATACTCTGATTCTTCATTCCGTATAATTCTGACATTCCATAAAATATGTTGTTACTAAAAAAAATCTCCACCGAAAAAGGGACAAATTTGACCCATTTGAGGGCAATAAAATAAAATGCAACGTATTTTTTATGTTTTACCTACAAAAAGGTACAAAAATAACAAATATTTCAATATCACGAACATTATCACTGCCTAACAATTCCAGGTTTAGTAAAACTTAAAAAAAAATTTTTATCTTTACTTGTGCGTTTTTTACTGTTTCTGATGAAAAGGGACTAAATTATCAGTCGCCGTAAAACCACTTTTAATGTTGCACTTAATAAACAAACAAATAAAGTTTATGTATAGAGACAGATGTCGTATTGACATTGAAATTGAAAAATGTTCCCGGCCAAAAAGGTTTGCCATCTCTGACATGTGAAGAAATGATAGCTGTCAGAATTCTACGGAATTAAAAATCAGAGTATAGGTGTAATGGTTGCAGCTCTTCCTCCTGATTAAAAGAGTGGCGGAGAGATTATTGCCAGTTCTTCTCTACCGTTCTTCGCCCTTGATTTGAGAACTGGCAGAGAATGTAAAATTAGAATCATTTCATATATATGTATTTTTTGACGTTCATAAGTATACATTTTGTTACCTTTATGAATAAATGATTTTTGATTTTTGAATTGTATTGGCTTCTGCAGGGATAGTGTGTATTTTATCTTAATATATATAAATCTCGTGTCACAATGTTTGTCCTCAATGGACTCCTAAACTACCGAACCGATATCAATCAAATTTGCACACCATGTGCAGTTCGATCCAACTTGAGAGATAGGATAGTTTAAATCTCAAATTATAGTCGCAATTTTAATTTATTGCAAAATATTTGTTTATTATTTGATACAATTCTAACAGATGGCGCTGTGTTAACACGTAGCCAATTTTTAAGAACTTTCAGGGTGGTTGGAGACCTAAAAGATCTCGTAACAAGCCTATCCTGGTGCGTTTGGACCTATCAGTCTCCTAATACCTTTTGAAAATAATTTATATTTCCAAAAACAATGACATATATTTTGAATTTTTGTGGGTGAAAGATAGCTAATGTTTAATTTGCTAGGTTCGCACGCAGTTACGACATTTGAATAAACTACAAATACCAAAAAAATTAGATATCGTGTTTCGTACCGCACCCGAAGATAGTTCAATATGTGGTAGTTGGGATAAAATAAATCTCAGTTTCGATTCTAAAGTTTTATTAATTATGCAAAGTGTTTTTCATTAAAACAGGAAGACATTGTTGTGTACATACGGCAATGGTCATTGTTTAGTTTTTTAGAGCGTCAGTGTGTTTAACTGCGTGTGCTCCAACGAAAAGGTTTCGTTAAAATTTCATAATCAGAATCACTGTCATTATTAGTCAATGGGGGCAAATTTGAACATTTTTCCAAAACAAATATTTTACTGGACGATGCAGCAGTATAATCCGGCGTTGATTTTTTGTTAGAAACCTCAGCAATAATAGGTTTTTTACACGTTTTTATCACAAAAATATCAACAGCTGGTATATAGCGAGTGTTTTTCCAAAAGTGCCCGCGACTTCCCGAATGTCGATTCTAGGACAACACTAAAAATCCCATCCTCCATCTCTTGCGCTACGAGGCGTACGATTTCACGAGTACCGACATATCTCCTAACGCAAGGAATTAAAATAATTACAAACTGTGCGTTAGGGCCTAATCCATCTCTAATTTATTTTTTAATGTCCTTGAATTCAGCTTTAAGTAGGAAGCAAATTGTATATTGTCCTGTTCATCCTTAAAGAACTTTACAAGTTAGACCCTCCGCAAAGTGAAAAAACACGATTATGTTCAACGCACTACAAAAGTCCTGCAAGAGATCTGATAGATCTCGTAACGCAGCGAACGTGTTAAAATTATCAACGTTTCACATAAGCTGTCATCTACCTTTCACATAAGTTCTCCTACCGTTTCCCTTGAATAGTTTACTACTATGTAATATAACAAAAATCTTAGCCAGAGCAACGCTTGGCCGAGTCTACTAGTAATTAAAATAAATAATCCTTAATGCCGGCTTAATACCTACTCGTTATTCTATAGAATTAATTGGACACCTGTTCGTTTTGTGCACCAATTAAATGCATTTAAGTTTGTTTGATATGTTATACAAAGATTAATTAAAAAAATGAATATTTCGCACATTGATAGCCGTTCCTGTAAATTTGGATATACATTATTTTGCTAGAGTTTGTTAATAGAACAATGTACGAGTCGTAGATATTACGATTATTTAGATAAAGAATTCGTTAGTTGTGATTGCTTTCTTCTATTGATACACAGCTTCTGCATTTGTTTTCTCGTAGTTGAATCGATGAAGAAATTATATTAAACCGTCATTTGTTTTTATGACGTAGAATGAAATTTAAATCTAATTTAGACTGATTAACCAGTTTCACATTTTTAAACTCAGGGAAATTATCCTCAAACTTCGGTACCAGGTCAAGGATGGAACAGTCCCCAAATACAGATAAGATACCCCAACCAACAAGTATCACAGGTGAGTTTACGCTGGGTCACAAACGCGACAATGTACAATTGGTTTTTATTTAATAAAACACTATTTTGACCGGATTGAAGTTATGTATTATTATAAATTTACAACTATTTAACATAATTTTAAATTTATCCGACGTTTCGCGTGCTTTACAGCGTGCGTGGTCACCGTGACCGTGAGTTGTAAATTTATAATAATACATAACTTCAATCCGGTCAAAATAGTGTTTTATTAAATGAATAAAAGTTATGTTAATCAAAGACAATACTATGGTTTTTATTTATTTATTTATTTCGTAATCCTACAGCTAACATAAATTATATATAATAACAAACAGTTACACTGAAAATATAGCCATATTAATAATATAATACAATTTACTACAAAAAGGTTCAAAAATTTACAAAAGGAAACAAACAAATAAAAATTATTTAATACATTTAACTAAGTGGTACCTAATTTGGCTGTGTTGAGTGATGGTAAGTATGTGAAGGTGTGTATGTGGGGTATGCTCATGATGCAGGTGATTTTGCGCTTGCGGATATTCTTAATACTCCTTTTAACCATATTCCGCGATAGCTTAAATAAGCCAAGGCTTAAATATTGGTCGTTGTATGTCCGGGCTCTATAAAACTTGAGTCTTTTGCATGGTTAGTGTTGAGGTGAGGAACATGAAATAAAGCACGATTACGATACGTTTTTAATAAAAGTCCATTATTACTTGTATTTATAGTTAATATTTTGTTAAGCGCAAAACTCGAAGACGGCTGTACCAATTTTAGTTATTTTTTATTATTTATTCCTTGAACTCTGCGGTTATTATGGAGAAACAAATTGGAAAAATTATACAAAATATAGATTTGTATTACTGAAGTTTTTTTTACGGAAAAGCGAACACTCTATCGGATAGCATAGCAAAATGTTCCATATGTTGGTAATGTATGTTATTATATTCTGCATCATAGAACAAACAGAATATAACTAAAGCATGAGTACTTGTGGGTGTGTGAATATGTGAACTACTTCGAACTTGCATACAACAAAAATAGGGCGTGGTCACGACACGGCCGTGTGTTGTACTTGAAAGTGTATTGAAATTTATAGATTTTAACGACAACTAATGATTAAAACATAAATGTACATCGTAGCTTCTCCGAGTCAATCAAGTTATACTAATTGCAAATATCGATACGCAGGAAAATAAACTCAAAATGGAGGCGCTTTCCCCTCTACAGCCCCTCTCTATCTAGACGATGTATTCGAAACTATAACGCCAAACTGTATACCCTGATTTTACTATTAAGTTTTTTTGATTGCCTGAGTATGATAGCAAAATACGTATTAACGTAGGAGTAGTGGTCGAGAGGCCACCAAGGGTTGTAGCGCTCTTGATTTAAAGACAACTCTAAACTAAATCGGTTAATTATAACGCCGTAAAAATTTATATTATACTTTAGGGTCAGGAAAGACCTACCGGAAATGAAAATACATGGAATAACCTCGGCTCGCCTGCCAATCAAGTAAAAGTATGTATTACGTATTGGGATTCGTATCCGAAGGTTAAATAAAATCGTTTATAATATTTATTTTGTAAATCAAAAAGAGATTGTATAGACCCCAGTTGATAGTTTTTTTTTGACGTTCATAGGTGTACATTTTGTTTCCTATATGAATAAATGAATTTTTGAATTTTAAGTCTTTCTCTTTATAGTCTTTATTAAAGATTAGAGTAAACCTTTTACTCTAAAACCTACTTATACTTATTCATAATTTAGTCTTCACATTATGGTTTTACGGAGTTTTAATGGTAGACAGACCAGTTGGATTCCCTAAAAATCGCCACATAAAAACAGATTAGAACTATTTTTCTCACAAACTGTACCTATGAATATCGCCGATAAATTAAACGTCACCTGATGTCCTTTTATTATTATTATTATTATAGTAATTATGTGAGTAAACAAAAAAAAAACTATCAACGCATATCAAATATATATATACCCCAAGTTCCATTCTTAGTGTGATTCAGTATAAATATTATTAAACCAAGTAAAATCTTTAATCGCAGGGGGATTATCCACAAACGTCGTTACCAGGTCAGGGATGGAGTAGTCCCCAAACGCAGACAGGATATCAGAAGGGGGGGGGGTGTGGTTTGTGTTTGGGGGGGGGGGGGGGGGGGGGGGGGGGGGGGGGGGGGGGGGAGGGGGGGGGGGGGGGGGGGGGGGGGGGGGGGGGGGGGGGGGGGGGGGGGGGGGGGGGGGGGGGGGGGGGGGGGGGGGGGGGGGGGGGGGGGGGGGGGGGGGGGGGGGGGGGGGGGGGGGGGGGGGGGGGGGGGGGGGGGGGGGGGGGGGGGGGGGGGGGGGGGGGGGGGGGGGGGGGGGGGGGGGGGGGGGGGGGGGGGGGGGGGGGGGGGGGGGGGGGGGGGGGGGGGGGGGGGGGGGGGGGGGGGGGGGGGGGGGGGGGGGGGGGGGGGGGGGGGGGGGGGGGGGGGGGGGGGGGGGGGGGGGGGGGGGGGGGGGGGGGGGGGGGGGGGGGGGGGGGGGGGGGGGGGGGGGGGGGGGGGGGGGGGGGGGGGGGGGGGGGGGGGGGGGGGGGGGGGGGGGGGGGGGGGGGGGGGGGGGGGGGGGGGGGGGGGGGGGGGGGGGGGGGGGGGGGGGGGGGGGGGGGGGGGGGGGGGGGGGGGGGGGGGGGGGGGGGGGGGGGGGGGGGGGGGGGGGGGGGGGGGGGGGGGGGGGGGGGGGGGGGGGGGGGGGGGGGGGGGGGGGGGGGGGGGGGGGGGGGGGGGGGGGGGGGGGGGGGGGGGGGGGGGGGGGGGGGGGGGGGGGGGGGGGGGGGGGGGGGGGGGGGGGGGGGGGGGGGGGGGGGGGGGGGGGGGGGGGGGGGGGGGGGGGGGGGGGGGGGGGGGGGGGGGGGGGGGGGGGGGGGGGGGGGGGGGGGGGGGGGGGGGGGGGGGGGGGGGGGGGGGGGGGGGGGGGGGGGGGGGGGGGGGGGGGGGGGGGGGGGGGGGGGGGGGGGGGGGGGGGGGGGGGGGGGGGGGGGGGGGGGGGGGGGGGGGGGGGGGGGGGGGGGGGGGGGGGGGGGGGGGGGGGGGGGGGGGGGGGGGGGGGGGGGGGGGGGGGGGGGGGGGGGGGGGGGGGGGGGGGGGGGGGGGGGGGGGGGGGGGGGGGGGGGGGGGAAGGGAAAAGGGGGGGGGGGGCGGGGGCGGGGGGGGGGGGGGGGGGGGGGGGGGGGGGGGGGGGGGGGGGGGGGGGGGGGGGGGGGGGGGGGGGGGGGGGGGGGGGGGGGGGGGGGGGGGGGGGGGGGGGGGGGGGGGGGGGGGGGGGGGGGGGGGGGGGGGGGGGGGGGGGGGGGGGGGGGGGGGGGGGGGGGGGGGGGGGGGGGGGGGGGGGGGGGGGGGGGGGGGGGGGGGGGGGGGGGGGGGGGGGGGGGGGGGGGGGGGGGGGGGGGGGGGGGGGGGGGGGGGGGGGGGGGGGGGGGGGGGGGGGGGGGGGGGGGGGGGGGGGGGGGGGGGGAAAAAAGGGGGGGGGGGGGGGGGGGGGGGGGGGGGGGGGGGGGGGGGGGGGGCGGCGGGGGGGGGGGGGGGGGGGGGGGGGGGGGGGGGGGGGGGGGGGGGGGGGGGGGCGGGCGGGGGGGGGGGGGGGGGGGGGGGGGGGGGGGGGGGGGGGGGGGGGGGGGGGGGGGGGGGGGGGAGGGGGGGGGGGGGGGGGGGGGGGGGGGGGGGGGGGGGGGGGGGGGGGGGGGGGGGGGGGGGGGGGGGGGGGGGGGGGGGGGGGGGGGGGGGGGGGGGGGGGGGGGGGGGGGGGGGGGGGGGGGGGGGGGGGGGGGGGGGGGGGGGGGGGGGGGGGGGGGGGAGAAGGGGGGGGGGGGGAAAAAAAAAAAAAAAAAAAAAAAAAAAAAAAAAAAACCCCCCCCCCCCCCCCCGAAAAACCGGGGGGGGCCAGGGGGGGGGGGGGGGGGGGGGGGCGGGGGGGGGGGGGGGGTTTTTTTTAGGGTAAAAAAAAAAAAAAAAGGGGGGCCCCTCCAAAAAAAGGGGGGGAGGGGGTTTTTTTCCCGGGGGGGGCGCCTTGGGGGGGGAGACAAAAATGGGCCTTAACCGTCGATATCTAAACCAACAAGTACCACAGGTAAGTTTTCTATCTACCTAGGATTCAGGGAGTAATTCTTTGACATACATAATGTAATAAGAGACCCCAATTTCATTTGTTTTATTACAATGGCAACACCACGCAATAACCATCTTACAGGTTGAAATTTTCAATATGTCAAAGTCAATTTGTCAGTAGTGTGTTAGATTCATCGTTGAGTTCAGTGCGCACTGACTTATTTTAAAACAACTGCCAAATGTCGGACAAACAATGATTACTATATGGCTAATATCGTTTCGAATTTTCGACATGTATTTTTGTGAATACCTTACAATTTTATGATAAATCTATGTAAGAACTGTTCACACGAATTTCGTATCTAGTTAAAAACGCGTCCTAAGAGCGAAAGCGTATTTGGAAAATGTATTTAGAGGGCTTACGTAAACAGTTTGACGACTAATTAATTTTAAGTTCCGGGCCCCTTTCCTTTCCCTTTTCCCCCCCCCCTTTTCCTTTCCCACCTTGCCCCCTTGCCCCGAGGCGAAAAAATATCTGGCTACACAGAAAACGTAAAAAAGTAGTAGGATTTTTGGTTAACTATTACTTATATTTTAGGGGCAGCAAAAGCCCACCGGAAATGAAAATACATGGAATAACCTCGGCTTGCCTGCCAATCCACTACAAGTATGTATTTCGTAGAAATTTGTTGGTAAATTCCCGAAGGTTAAATGTAATAAATATTTATTTTGCAAATCCAAAATACCCTACGACACAGTAGTAGTTTCAACTATCTATTTAAAAAAGTCACGAAATTCCTTTTGATCAATTTTTTTTAAAACAAATAAAAGTTCCTTCACTAGTCAAGTTATAGTATTTTGTGGGTATTTTTTTAGGGCTGGCTATAAATCATAATTTATTAATTATTAATTTAATTCTAGAGTTTGTACTAAGAACTTTTCAGCCCACCAATTACATATAATCTACAATTCACACAATACACGTTACTACTGCGTACAAGCTGCGTCCCCTGGCACAAGTATTTTTTTAATTAATATAAGGGGCCCCAACTTCTATATAAAAAATGAATCCCAAATTATGTTGCTAAGCGCAAAACTCGGCTGGACAAATTCGAGTTATTTTTTCCTTGAAGGAAGGTTTTTCTCGTAAGAAAAATTTTAAAATTGAAAAAATTTGTATTGTTTGGTAATTAAAGTTTTATTTCGAAAAAACTAACAGTCTCTAAGGTAACATATCAAAATGTTCTATATGTAGCCACTAAAAAGGTAGGCTAAGTAAAAAAAAAAAACATATTTAAGCGAAAATTATAAGAATTATGCGTAATCTCAGGTCAATCAACCTGGACAATATCCTGACACAGGAAGAAATTGGAATGGAATCGGTGTTAATGTTAATTCAAATAATCCAAACATGCCGTCCTACCCGCAGAATGGATTACAGGTGAGTACCTTCAATTTGATGTTTCGTTTTTCGAATGTAACGGAAAACACTTGTTTTTAGCTATTTGGTATTTTTAATCTTATACGAATGCAAAAATTACAATTGTACAGTGCCACATACTTTTCTTTATTTTAATATTTATATTCAAAGTGTACATTATTATTTAACAACCTCTCTTTTGCGTCGGGATTAAACATTTTTGATATGTTTAACCATATTTGTGTAAACATATTTCCTAACCAAAAATACCGATTAGAATGCTGTTTTTTATAACGCGACGTGAGCAAAATGGTTCTTACTTCTTAGCTTCAATTTTGAAGATCTTTTCAGGTGGTTTTAAATTAACACAATATTTACGTATTCAACATGTTTGGCCCGATCGAAAGATCTGCTGAACTGTAATGGAGGTCGAAGGTTCTCAGGGGTTACATAATTTTTCAAAACTATACTTGTATTCACGTTAATATTCAACAATGAAATCATCGAACTGTAAATATATTTTAGTTTTCATTAAAAAATCGTAAAATAATGAGTTGGTACCAAAAATAAGGAAAAAGAGCGGACAGTACAAGATGGGAAGATGAAATAAAACTGGTTGCAGGCAAGGTTAAGACTGAGGCTAAAACGAGAAGATTGGAAGGGGGAAGTCTTTGTCGGGATCGGCAAATGGACTTGTTTTTAATTGATTGTGCCAGAAATAAATGACAAATATGTATATGTATACCTATGCGTGTTGTTCCCACGATAATGTAAGTGCGTGCTTCTATTTCATCATGCCTCCTGCTGATAGAGGACAAATCTTTGTTTTTAATTTATATTATTACTAGCAGACCGGCCAAGCGTTGCTGTGGCTAAGGTTTTTGTTATATCACATAGTGGTAAACTATTCAAAGGAAACGATAGGAGAACACCAGTCATGGGGACCACCATGCCTTTTTGGTGGTAATGCCATTAAATTGTAGCTTATGTGGTACTTTCAACACAGCGCCATCTGTAAGCATTGTGACTATCAAATAATAAACAAATATTTTGCAATAAAATAATATTCCGGGTATAAATTGAGATGTAAGCTATCCTATCTTTTAAGTTGGATCAAACTACACACGGTGTGCAAATTTGATTGATATCGGTTCGGTAGTTTAAGAGTCCATATCGGACAAACAACGTGACACGTAATTTATATATATTAAGATTTTTAATTACTTAAGATGTCATGTGGAACATGGTGTAATGGTTGCAGCTCCTTACAAACGTTGTGTTAAACAAAAATCTTTGCGATTAAAAAGTTCTTCTGTTCTTCTCTTCCGTTCTACGCTCTTGATTTGTGAACTGGCAGTTAATGTAAAATTAGACGCATTGTATATATATTTTTGTTTTTGACGTTCATAAGTGTACATTCTGTTACCTATATGAATAAATGATTTTTGAATTTGAATAGCCCGATCGCGACATAGGCCTCCTTTAGACACTTCCATTCTACCCATGTAACCAGTTTTATTTCACGTGAAAGTATGACGTCAACAGCCTGATGACGTCAATAATTTTGCTTCCTGGAAATTTCCGAAGTTTGAGGAAAACCAAAAATTGAATGTTTAATTTTAGACTGGCGCGGCCTACTCAGGCCAGGAAAATGTAAAAAATCCCAATTATTATCAACCTGGCAATCCAAACGATAATGATAATGTTCAGGTAAGATCTAAGTTATTGATTTACGTAAAGCTTGAATATTTATTCGTTAAAAATATTTTTAACACATTAGAAAGACGTTTTTTTAAGATTCATTGGTTTTTCATACAATAAATTTAAAATATAATACTTATGGTTATTTTACACGACTATAATATGTAATTTAATTATAATTATTAAACATAATTTATCATCGTTCTTTCTATTGTTTAAATCATTAAAATGTGTAATGGCAAATATTAAAATGTGTCGCTGAATTCACTTACACTATATCATTGCATATTTCCAAAATATTTTTGTTCACTTTAGATACATATAAAGTATTGTAATATATATTCATACATTCGTGCTTGTATTGTAATTCGTAGTGACTATTTCATTTCACACATACAAAATCTATGAAAAATGGTTGTTTAATTATCGTATACACACTTTCGGTACGCTTGCGGTTCGTTTGCGGTTCGCTTGTGGTTTACTTGCGGTGCCTACATTAATTTACACATACCTATGTATTTTCATGTATTATAAGAACACAAAGCCTCTGAGCTCGGTATTCTTGAACGTCTATCAAACCTAACACTAGATACAAGCGCTGTATGAGGTTTGACATATTTGACAGCACTCAAGACGAGATTCTGAATTGAGACTCGTTTACTAATCGACTACATTTTTGTACTACGTCAAAATCCAATACATTTTTGACGTATCCTGGTCAGAATTACCGCTACGAGCTTACGAGATTCGTTTGAATTAGCGTAATAATTTTCTTAACGCATCATTTAATTAAGAAGCCGAAAACAGCTCTTCACATTCTTTAAAAAATATTTCCAGAAACTTAACCCTAATTACCCGACAGCGAATAATTGGAATAATGGTTTAAATCCGCGTGTTAATTATCCAGGGAACCCTCAGCCGTATCCAGTAAATGGAATTCAGGTAACTTTCGTGATTAACTCGACTTTTCAGTAATGAGATTTATTCCTAAAACATGACATTTAAATGCCTCATTTCAGTGCGCTGAAGTTTATTCAATAATTTATTAGTGGTGATTTGGCAAAATGGCATAGGTATTTTTATTTTTTTGTTCTAAGTGGCGTTTGTTTTGGATAAGCTAAACAATTATGTTGTCGAACAGTGTTGGCCTAGTGGCTTCAGCGTGCGACTCTCATCTCCGATGTCTTAGGTTCGATCCCCGGCTGTGCAAAAATGGACTTTCTTTGTGCTCATTTAACATTCGAACGAACGGTGAAGAAAAACATCGTGAGGAAACCGGCTTGCCTTAGACCCAAAAAGTCGATGGCGTGTGTCAGGCACAGGAGGCTGATCACCTACTAGCCAATAAGATTGAAAAATGATCATGAAACAGATTCAGAAATCTGAGGCCCAGACCTAAAGAGGTTGTAGCGCCACTGTTTATTATTATTATTAAACAATTATGTTACATGGAAGGATAAAGACACAATGAAGAAGTGGCTATTTGAAACCTTCGTATCTTTGTAGCTTGTTACGAAAGTTTTTATTTTTTAATTGTTATACATTATTGAAATATGTTTTTTAAATCTATGGTAAACTTATTTAAATAACTTACGCAAATGCTTTGTCGTAATATTCTGCTTATTTACATGTTAGATGAAAATTAGCTTGATCCGAAAGCAAGATGTTGGTGAAAAGCGCTCAGTAACCTGATTTACGAAGATAAGCCTCTGACTGGCACCTTGGGGCTTTAATTCTTGCACCAATTTGAATTTTGTAGGAGTGCAGCTTTAGGTCTATACTTAAAATGTGGAGTAATGAAGATCTATGCGCATTTAAAGCACGAGCGTAAATAAATCATAAATGTAAACTTTCTTTTGAGACACCTGACCTTCTGTCCACTCCTCAATATAGGTTCATTTAACGGTTAAATAAGCATCTCCTGGACAGCCAGCCCTCCATAGGTCACATTTCATTGAACGTCTGGTGGGATTCTAGCCAAACGTTTTTCTAGTTCCGAATAAAAAAAAACGTAATAATGTTAATCAACTTCTTAATTGGATATATAACGCAGACTTTTTAATTTATCACAATATTTCGATTTGTCAATTTAATTCTCTAAAATTTTACGCGATATTATTTACGGGTCTTTCACGATTCAATCGTAGTTGCTATTAACTAAATACTTAACAGTTAGCTAAGAAATACGACTGGTATTATATAGAACTCGGAAGCATGTTCAAAGAAAATTGATAAAAATAAACTATTGAGTAGGTCTTTTGAAAGTTTTGTGAGTTTTTAGTTGTACATTTCTTACAGACTGATGTACCAAATAGTTGGAATGCTAACCAAAAGAGGAACCAGGGGTACGAAAGTCCAAGTCAGTTGGGCTATCAGGGTGGCCAACTTAATCCTGGTACTAACTACCAAAACGGCTACCCAAGTCAGAACGGATATCCGCCTCAGAGTGACTCCTACACGGGTAAGTTTGATATTATCGAAGTTTAGTTTAAAAGTTAATTATTATTACCTTGATTTACTATTGAATTTTGAATGGTATAATTGCGTATTTAAATTAAAATGCAATTTGTAATTTTATATAAATTCATGAATTTTTCGCTATCCTACCTCAAAATTGTACGATGACACAAAACTCCTAACAGTCACACATTAAAGGCAATGTGTCGAAAAATTATAACTCTCGATCCAAAACAACTATAATTACAATAATAATTACATCACATCTGAACTTGTCTTTAACTTGAACCAAAATTTGTGAAACCGTAGTTCAAGTATGTCAAATCGAAGACACTTTCTCATTTTATTGTATATCTCTTTATATTTTTTTTACATTAACGACTAATACAATATCAAATGTGGCATACATATATATTATATTGTAAGTTACAAACATTCTTTAATTAGAGTATTTACAGTATTCTAACCTATTATAAGGATTAAAAGAAAACTAAAATAAATTTAAAAAGTCCTGTTTCTATAGCAGTGTACTTTTAATGCTGGCAGCATTTCCTCGCTGTATTTATCCGTTGAGCGAGGAAAGCACCAGCTCTATGGTCATCGGTACTATCCACCAGGCGTTAACTTAAACGTGTAATTAGCGTCTGTGAACTTCCAAGTTCCACAGTCCAAGAGTCTCTAATATGGCATTATTTTTTACAGTTTTACAATAAAGCAATGTACATTTGCATTTATTTTTATCGTTTATCCTGCTAACTTTAGTTTAACTAACCATAAAGATAATAATCGATAATGAATAATGATAATAAAACCCACATTTATCAAGAGTATTATTTTGAATGTTTGTCAATTGTTTATGTGTTCAACAAAAATTATAATTCTAAATGTAGAACTAAGAAAACTTATCAATTATATTGAAGAAAAAGAGTTTTTATTTAATTTACAATAAAATTGGGAGTTTGTTTATACTAACGCATAAAAATTATCATATTTATTACACACATATTTACATGTCAAAATGACTATTGTTAATTTAATTTATTATTGCATAAGAGCAGCGACTCTTACACTAGAGGTCGTAGTTTCGAACCCCGGCTGTGCATCAACAGACTTTTTATGTGCGCGTTTAACACTCGCTCTTACGGTGGTGGAAAATATCGTGAGGAAACCTTAGACCCAAAAGACGGTGGCGTGTATCAGGTACAGAATTCCGATCATAAAATATAAATTATTATTATTTGTGATGTGATATTATATTTTATATATATGATCACGAAACATATACAGAATGCTGCTATTGCAATTTAATTATCTTTGTACGAGTATATACACAGTTCGTTAGTATAGATATAATCAAATCATTCGCGGACATATCGTGCAATTCACAAAACCCAAGTTACAGTAATTGGATATGCATTTTTTCCCACAGGCTTTCGGAACGAGGCCTCACAATACCCCAATCAAAGTGAGCAGGCGGATGTAGCTGTCACAACAGAAAAGGCTATATTAAGCAATCCGGTCATTATTTCCGAAATAAATCCTCCGTCAACCCCTAAAAGGTATTTGTTGGTATTTATATCGATATTTTTTTATAATTATTTTATTATAGGAATCTTTTTGTTTATATTATTTTTGTGAGACAAAGTTTTGAGGCGAAAACTATGAAAGGTAGCGTCTCTTATTATCTTTTTAATATTTTGTAACCAAATCCAAACAGCTATTACGTATATTTATTATTGAATTTTTTATTAAATAAAGTAAGAGAAAGGGTTGAAGTGACTCTAGATTAATAAATAATGACTGAAAAAGTTCTAAAGCTTGCCTTTGGGGAACTTTGTAAGGAAGGAAGGAAGGTTGTAACATCTCTGGATTATTATTATTAACATCAAATTATAAAATCCACCATTGCTTAGCGGTTAATGCATGTTCAACCGCCTTACCTTAGTTTGTCGTTTTGGCGATTTTTGTTTTGGACTGTAAGGCTGCTATATGATAATATGAAATAATCAATAATATTTAATTTGTCTTACCCTTTCTTTTGTTACCGTTTACTCATTTTAATAAAGTGTACTTAAGATTTTATTTTGCATCAAAATATTCTACAACGTTGTAATATTTCATAAGAGCGGTCGACTCTATAAACATTTTTGATCTCGGCCGTGATCAGTGAGATTAAGCCGCACAATGCCTTGCAGCTGTAGTTAAAAATGCAACCGCGGGCTAAATTCCCTTCTTTGCATTGCTAACGAGAGATGAACTTTCCTTTCGTAATTTTTGTAAGATAAGCCGTTTCTAAGGACATTTTTTCTTTGGGCGATACACGCAAAGTAGGACAGGTTGTTCCAATTTCAAACGTGTCGAATATTAAATTTTAGTTCGCATTTTTGAAATTAGAACGAATACGTCGAATAGTTCCTCTATTCGACGTATTCGTATATCCTTTGCATGGCGAGAAAACCATTAATATAGCAATTCTCAAGTCTATTTCAAATAAAAATTTTACTGCAGATATCGATTTTAACAATTATTTCGTAATTACTTATTAATTTAATATTGTCCCTGAATAAAGAACGCCATATTTTCAAACAAAACACCAATCCAGCCGTGTGAAGCCGAAGTCACTATCACTATATAAATTAAAAAAAAAAAAGACATGTTCTCTCAGACTACTGATACTTCACTGATTGCATATTCTATACTAGGACTGTTTCGTAAAATCTCATTAGAAATTAAAAATTCTAAAGATATAGCTTTTAAAAAAGAAAACTCCACAAGGTTAGCACTAAATGACAACTGCGAACCTAAACTTAAGGGGCGCTTGTTCGCTCTTAACCTAATTCTTTGCAGCAGGAAAAGCATTTCGAAGCGGCCTATATTTTTATTGCATACATTTCCAGTTAAGTACTGAAATATTAATAAATATTTTACTGAATATTTCCACAAAACTGATTAGAATTGTTATTTGAAAAACATTCAACTGATAATAACTTTAAATTTCATTCTATTTAGCTGTAATAAAGCGAATGCCGTAACGATTTTATAAGAATACAGATTATAATGATAGAGTCAATAATTAATTGATAATAATTGATAAGAAGGAACCAAAATCCTTATCACCTCGTTTGTCGTCTCAACTGAGCGTTTTCTAAGGCAGTTTATTTTTTAAAAGACAATTCACACCAATTGACCTAGTCCCATGCTAAGCTGGTGAAGCTTGTGTTATGGGTACTAGGCAACGGATATACATACATATTATAGATATATAGACATATTTAAACACCCAAGACCTAAGCACAATACAAAATGCTCATCACATCGATGTTCGTCTCAGCCGGGGATCGAACCCGGGACCCACTGATTCGCAGTCAGGGGAACTAACCACTAGACCAATGAGTCGTTGCCGCGCACCATCAGTATGTGGAACCAGTTGCCCACTAAAGTATTTCTGAACCAGTTCGACTTAGAGCCCTTAAAAAAAAAGAAGAGGTTGGCAACGCACTCGCCCTTTGGCATTGAGTGTCCATGGGAGGCGGTTTGCCACCTGTTCTACAAAAAAATGACGTCATCTAGTAATTAAATCGATATAGTTATCATTGGAGATTCATAAACAAGATTTAGCGCGAACTATGATTCCTGTATGTCGAAATCCAATATTATTTTTGACATACGGGTGAACAACGCTAAAGCTTAGGTTTCCTACAAAAGCGGTCCCGTTATCTATCGGCCGTAATGTAGCGTTGGGTGACGTCACCCATACGTTGTCTATAAATAACATCAGAGTAGGTTTCCTAGAGAACGTTGAGTGTCTCCGTAACGTCAAATAGCGGTGCTGTCATTTGCATGACGGCCGTCATAGCGGTGATAAACAATAGTTCAACGTTTTTCCCGTGTAGCGGTGCCCATATTTAATTAATACAATGAGTGGAAACGTGACTTGGACGAGCGAAAATGATTGTTTTTTTGCATTATGTTAAAAAGTAAAGACGGCCGTTATTAACAACCGTAAAATGACGGCCGTTAGTTAACGGCACCGCTTTTCTAGGAAACCTAAGCTTAAGTCTCGTTTCCATAGCGCTAAAGTTACAAACATGTTATTATGTAACGAAAATATAGTTAAAACGTTCTTGGAATTACAGCAGAGATAACGTAGAAATTAATACACAAAATCATTTGCCTTTACACAAATCTTATTTTTAACTTATTCGTGTGTTCATCTTTGTATTGGTGCCAATAATAGACTTGAAAAGATTTGTGGAAAATCAAAAGCCCGCCCTCGGTCTGGATCTGGAAATATATGGGTACATTATACTCACACATAAGAAATAGAATTTTCTACGGTCCTATTATGTGGGTATCTCAATAAGTTATTCAAGCGTTTATTGGTGAAGCTATTGAAATACATAATACAGAAAGGAAAATAAATTAATTTTCATTAAATACAATTGTCGATACAAAATCTACGTACTGCATTCTGTATTTTTATTTATTAATAAAAATACAGAAATTCATGTGACGGAACACAAATTCGACGAAGCAAACGAACGAAGCGAATCAGTACAGTAATATTATAATGCTTAATAATAAAATTAAATATGTGAATTAATTACTAATTTCTTTAAATTACATAAAAAAATAGAAACTTCAAACAAGGAATGATATTTGGTTTACAATATTTTAGGTATTTATACATTAAAGCGAAAATAGACACGTGTAACTGTGTGGGAGTGTGTGAGGGGGTGTGTTAAAGTTTACGATGATGTATGGTTTTTGGGAATCCATGTAACATGAACGAGAAACCCCTTTGGGAGATTAAATATTTCATAATATAAAATGAATTTTTTTTTTAGTGAGGTGGATGAAGGCCAAACAAAATGTGTTCAAGATTGCTCTACCTCATCGGATTACCAACCCATATGTGGCACAAATAATGTGACATATTTCAATGAAGAGAAATTTGAATGCGCACAAAAATGTGGAATAGGTAAGCAAAATCCTTACTATGGTGATGATCCATTTTCCTCTTCCATAATGCAGGTTTTTCTTCATTGCGTGTTGTGACAGGATATCAGTCTGAATGGTACTTGCAAATTTTATTTATACATAGTTTTAGTATAAAGTTTTCTTCATCAATAAGTATACTTTATAATTTTGAGAGTTTTTTTAATGAGTTTTAACATCCCCAGGTTTAGGGGAGGGCAATCAGCTCCCACCATAAAGACTTTAATAATAAAATAATCTATACTTGGTTTCACAATAAATTATTTACTGGATAACTCGACTGAATAAAATTGTCCATTTAATTTGGAGCCAAGAGGCTTTCACTCCTTTGTTGCCTCCAGATATCTAAATCCGACATTGAGACACAATGTTTCTGTTATTTACAGAAGTGGCGATTCGACAACAAGGCGCGTGTGATGGGCATTAAAATATGTGTTTTATTTTATAAATAAAATGTATTAAGACTAATTGTTTTTTATTAAAGTCACCTATTTTAAAGTATTTTCGCCTAATTATTTGATCCTTAATCGGAAAGAGCCGTAATCATAATTTTGTATAAATGTTTCTGCGGGAACCAATGAACTTTCTTTCGAACAGGAAAATGGCACAAGAGGCTGATCACATACTTGAATATTAGATTGACAAATGATCATGAAACAGATACAGAAATCTGAGGCCCAGACCTAAAAAGGTTTTAGCGCCACTGATTTATTTTATGTTTATGTCTAATCAGTAGTTATAAACAAATAATAAATCTATGGATTAGCTTGCTATTTGCTATATTCGTTTACCAAACGAAACATTATAAAAATATGTAATATTTTAAATATGTTTCCACCGATAAATACAGGTATTATAAAACATATACAAGAATTGCCTATCCCTTCATACAGTTTTTTTAAGGAAGTTAAAAAAGAGTCCTAGAAATATTACCGTTAATATTATCCATTACAATGGTTACGTTGCGTGCTACAATAAATATTTACATACTAGATAACGAAGTTACCTAATAATGTGTAATAATGCGTTCCCAATTTCTGCTAAAACATTTAGGACACATACTTTAAGTGTCCACTATAACATGCTGTTCACAGTTCGATCTCGGTCTAATGAAATATTCTTTATATATAACTAGCTGACCCAGCGAACTTCGTTCCACCTAACAGTCTAATAATATCGTGTTAACTTTAGTTATACTCCTCCTTACAAACGTTGTGTAAAAAAACATGGCGATTAAAAAGAGTGGCGGACAGTTTTTTGCCAGTTCTTCTCTTACGTTTTACGCCCTTGATTTGAGAACTGGCACTAAATGTAAAGCTAGAAGCATTTCATATACAGTTCTTTTTTTTGAAGATCATAAGTGTACATTGTGTTACCTATATGATTAAATGATTTTTGAATCTATACTTCATTTAGGATTTCATTACGTAATAACATTATTACAATTTTTTTTGCAAATACAGAAATGTTTTATTGCTTGCCATTGCGAAAGTAGAATGTCAGTTTTACACATTAGGCCTCTTCTGTCAAGTGCCAATATTGCGATACTGCATGTTAAAACACTTTCTGATATACAACATATTTTGATGAGAGATTTTGAGAGATGCCTGGTTATGCATCTCTTCATTCACCTCAAGATCGGAATTTCTTGAACTGACAGGAATTCGAAGTAAAATGATGCCTAGTTTTGTCAACAGATGGCACCACACGCTGTTTGCATTCGTAAAATTAATTAATTAATTTAATGTTATTCGATAACTTATCCGATATTTTATTACTTATTCTGCTATTCGGAGCGGAGAAGAATCCACCAAAAAAGAGATAACTAACATTGGTCCAGCCGATCTTGAGTTATAAGTGGTGTAACTAACACGACTTTGTTTTATATATTTATATATTATTTAGATTTGACGACAACTTACGTATAGTACGAATGCAGACATTGGTTTTTTTTTTTTTAAATATGCGAGACCGTTATAGAACCGCGAACGAACCGTGAACCTACATCATTCATACATGACACCCACACTTTTACGCCTACATCATCACACCTTACAATCAATAAACACTATATTATGCTTTATATTACTGTTATGCGTTTGAGATATTAAATATAATATGAAAGATAAAGCAATAATGGCAAGTACCAAACTTCATACTAGAATCGTTAATAAAAGTTTTAAATTAAAAAAATGTTAAAGATCGTATCCAAATTACATCCACTAGGCAACGTGCCCAGAGATTTTATCCGGATGTCAGCCAAGATATTTCTTTAATTTACACAGCTTTAATTAGGTTTTCCTAACATTATATGGAATCCTGTCTTCTTACAATTAATGTACTGTAATTGTATTGAATGAGGATAGATTATGGAAATAAGTAATATATGGGAGATTCGTTTAAATAAAATGGGAATAATAAATAATTATTCCGAAAAAACCTTCGTTACAAAATCTAGTCTATATGTGAAACAATCGTTGTCATAAAAAAATAAACAAAAACAAACAAACAAATGAAAACATCCGAGGCTAAGACAAAGCGCCATGGATTTTTTGATACGTTTATAAAAAAAAATATTTGTTTATATTTATTTTTGATTTTCGTATCAAAAAATCCATGGTGCTTTGTCTTAGCCTCGGATTTTTTCATTTGTTTGTTTGTTTTTGTTTCATTTTTCTAATAGGCAAGTGAAGGTTATAGGTTATGCAGATTATTTCTGCATTTGACACATTCCGTCGATTTTTTGGTCTAAGGTATCTTTCCTTACGATGTTTCCTGTACTATACGAGTGACTGTTAACTGAGGATATAGAAAAGCCCATTGGTGCACAGCCAGGATTTCTAACCTTCAACCTAAGGGATGAGAGTCGCAGCAAGCAGCTAGGCTAGCTCTTTCATAAACGTACATACTGAAATTTGATAACAACACAATTTCGTCTTCTTTATAATTAATTAAATTAATATTTATATTAACGTAGTTTATTGTACGGAATATTACGGAATACATAGTATTCATTACGCAGAAATCATTAATAGCTATCAAATATTTATAACAGTAACTTGATATACATAATATATTAATTATATGATAATTATATCTAATGTACATCGTATTTAGGTATACATTTACATAAGGAATTAACAATATATGTATCCAAATTCAACTTAGGGTCCTTCAAGAAAGAGCGTACCAATTCTTAAAAGGCTGGCAACGCACTCGCGAGCCTTCTGGCATTGAGAGTGTCCATGTCCATGTCCATCATGTCCATTATATCACTTAACATCAGGTCAGCCTCAAGCTAGCCTCAGCCGATTTGAACCCTGTTCAATAATTTTTTTTTTCGAATTATCGGAGTCAGTACCAGAAGGAAAGGCTCGGCTCTTGAAAGACATATGCAGAGGCCGTTTAGACACAAAACTTATAGCGTTGAGAACCAGTGATAGCCTAGTACAAAATCTAACTATGTATATAATTATTTTTTTCTTATGTAACAGGAGGCAAACGGGTAGGAGGCTCACCTGATGTTAAGTGATACCGCCGCCCGTGGACACTTACACTCCAAGCCTTTCAAGAATTGGTACGCTCTTTTCTTGAAGGACCCAAAGTCGTATTGGTTCGAAAATACTTCAGTGGGCAGGTGGTTCCACATAGTGGTGGTGCGCGGCAAAAACTGCCTTGAAAAACGCTCAGTTGTGTAACGACGGAAGTGATATGGATGGTATTTTGTATTTGGCCTTGACGTCCTTGATAATGAAACTCAGCTGCAGGTATTAGACCGAACAACTCCTCTGAACACGCTCCATAGTAAATTCGGTAGAAGATGCAGAGAGACCCCACATCTCTACGCAACGCCAAAGGATCAAGCCGCACGGAAACTGACTGGTCGTCGACGATTCGTATCGCTCTTCGTTGAATACGGTCAAGTGGAAGGAGTTGGTACTGGGGAGCTCCCGCCCAGAGGTGAGAACAGTATTCCATGTGGGGCCGAGGCGCTTTATAGAGTTCAAGCAGTGGCCCGGAGTGAAGTACCGTCTCGCCTTTCTATGATTTTGAATGTGAATTATTCATCTTTAACGTCCCTATAAGCTTTTTCCAATTCACGTATAAAATGTAACTTTATAATCAAAACCTAACACCCAAAGTTTGAATCTGTAATAAAAACAACTCGATAACGAACGCACGTTTACAAGCGATTGTCGAATAGGTAAATTGAAAGGGCCGTTACCCTTATCTCGCGCCTACATGTGACTCGATTTGGACGTGCAAAATTACGAAGCCGATAACGAGATAAGTTTGACGATGTGATTTGTAAAACTTGTCAATAGTTTTTCACAAACTATTCGCTGGAACGCTTTCTTGTTTGTTAAATATTAAAACAAAATTGTACATGACAGTGGAACAAAACAGTTTTTCTGTCCAGTGTATCGTTATATTTCCAAAAAAATGTTGAAGGGAAACTTCTTTAGGCGCATGATGGTAAAATTTTACGGATACGTCACGAATATGTGCAGCGTTTTTGTCGAAGAAAAGGGAGAGAGCGATTGAGACCGATTGAGAGAGAGTGAGAAGGGCGAATACCTTATTGAAATTCTATTTTTAAAATTAAATATTAGTATTTTATGTACATTAATTTATTAAAATCTAAAATGACGAATTGTAAATTAAATTTATTATTTGTATTAATTTTCGACACTATTAATATTTTAATGACAATAAAATTCATTAAATTCCTAACATATCTTCCCTCCCTCTAAGTCTCGGAATTTTTTATCCGTACATGCGTTGAACCAAACAATTGTTTGTAACAAAATCGAAGAACAGAAATGAATATTTTAAATGCTTAGTCACCGGCACTTTAATAAAAAAAAAACTGGCGCTACAACCTTCTCAGTCTGGGCTCTGATTTATGTGTCTGTTGTGATCATTTGTTTTTTTATAAGCAAGTAGGTGATCAACCTTCGTCAAACGTCGAAAAGCCCAAGTTTTGAACCTACGACCTCAGGGATGAGATTCGTATACTGAAATTACTAGGCTAACACCACCCTTACTTAAAGTAGGTAGGTACTAGGTAGTCAGAAAAATAAATTTATTTTTTATAAAACCGATGCAATTTTCCATTTTTCAAGAAACCGATTTCTTTTAGATAATAAATCGTTTAACGTTAAACCACTTCCCTTTCTGGCCACGAAATATCATAAATAATATTTATAGGTATTTTAAGTGCAATAATTCGTTACCAGGCTGTATGTCATGTTAATGCTTTTGAAATATCGACGATTCTGTTTCATTTTCATCCTTAAAAATTAAATACCTATTTCAACTTGTTCAATCTGCTGAGTACTTGAGTGTCTTTGATTTAAAATGGTGAAGTTGCTAAGGGCGGGAGGTAGGGAGGCCTTACGAAAAGGGTATGCCGGGGAAATTGTG